TTCACTGAGATGCTTTACTCCATACCCGGTCCCACCAATTCAAAAGTCCGGCTTCATGGAGCTCACGCCTGGATGATATCCGACACAATCTTTGCAGCAGCCAATGTCTCCTCATCCTTAAAATGCTTTCCTGTAAACTGCAGACAGATCGGCGCACCCTCAAACTTCTCCGGCACATACTTGACAAACTCTCTCTCATCGACCGCATTTCTAGGAAGATAGCTGGATTCTGCCTTATCAATCTTAGGGTCCTGGAATAGTCCTGTTGGAAAGACGGCAGTGGGTTGATCCAGGATGTTCCAGATGGCGGTGTAGTTCCAATACTGGGAGGTACCGAGCTCAGGAGCGACGCCCACGTACGTGGGACTGAGGATGAAATCGACCCCACGCGCTTTCATCAGAGCATGGTAGTCGGCACGGTATTTCTCGCGCTTCACGTTGTACTCCCAGTTTTGATGGATCGTCAGGGCCTCTGGGCGTGAGTAATTAAAGGCCCACTCGGTGAGGGGGTGCAGGGGCTCGCCGGAGTCGGCGACGATCTTGCGTTGGCAGGCAGCACCGTCGGGAAAGTAAAGCGTTGACTGTGTCGCGGTGAGTGACTTGGAAGGGAAAAAAAGGGCAGGTTCGGTACTTACGACGATGTCCCAGCCGAGGGCGTGATCCATCGGCTCCCAGTCCACGATCTTGATGCCGGTGGCTTGCATCTTTTCTTTGGCATATCGTAACCCACGGGTAATGGGAGGGTGAGGGTGTACAATTCCATCGTCCCACATGATTGCGACTGTAAAGTCCTTGGTTCCTTGCACACGTTTCCATGGCATTGCCACCAGGCTTGTCTCGATATCCCACGGCTCTTGGTCAATGACTGCTGACATGAAAAGATCCAGGTCCTCCACACTTGAACTTGCTAGAGGGCCAACAACGCAGCGGATAGATTCTTGGCCCTCACCCGCAAGGATGATTCCATCGTATGGATTTCTCAACGCAGTAGGGCGGAAACCATATGCTCCGTTGAATGCAGCTGGAACACGGATTGAGCCACCGATATCAGTACCAATTCCCAGAGGCGCACACTTGAATCCCATGGAAGCACCCTCTCCTCCAGATGAGCCACCGGGAGAGAGCTTTCGGTTATAGGGGTTGACCGTCATTCCAGTAATGTTGTTGTTGCAGTCGAGGTGCTAAACGCGTTCGTTCGTACTTTAGCTGGAACAGACAGGCAGACTTCTAACATACCATGAGGGACTGAGGCTGGTTTGTTCGAACATGGAAGACGGCCCCAGCTTTCTTGAGAAGCTGGACAAGCAGAGCATCTTCCGGAGCAATGTTCTTAATCCTAGAAGGCAACAGTCAGAGACGAGCTTGATGGTTTTCACCGAGAATTGCTTACCATGAAACGTATCCAGTGTGGCAGATGCGCCCCTCCAACCCAATATGCTCCTTAACACTAATTGGAACACCGTGCTTGAAGCCGCGTAAGAAATCTATCTCATGCCCTGATGACCCAAATCACTCACCAAAGGCCCCACCAACTTTCCTGTCTTCTTGTAGTATGCATCAAGCTCTTTCGCGCGAGCGATGGCCTCATCCGCCATGAACTCGGTAGCAAAGTTTAGCTGGAAGTTAAAAATATTGGTTAATTTCCGTCAAGAAATGTTCTTTGCTTGGCCGGGATTTGACTTACAAGTTGTTGTCCAATAGTTGCTCTCTTCAAGAAAGCAATAACAACTTCTTCCGCGCTGAGGGCACCTTTGCCCATCTTTGCGACGAGATCGGTTGCCGTCGATTCAGTGATGGCCAACTCATTCTCTGACAATAGCCCGCTCTTGCGACAGAAGTCTGCGACGTGGAGCTCTTCTCCGCCTGGAAGGGCACTTTCTGCAGCCACATATTGCTTTGGGATCGAGTTAGCGAGGATCTCCTTGCACTTGTTAGCTTCGATCTCCCAAGACTCGACAGCCATGGTGTATGAAAAGTAGGTGAGAATAGGATATCTTGATATGTGAAGACTAGGAAATGATGTCAAGCTACGATAGTAGCGAGTGCTGGGATATCGGACATATTAATAGGGCGATCTCACATTCATCAAGTTCTAGAGGCTATGGTCAACCGGAATTCTTCCCGAGGTATTATTCAGCTCCACCCATAGCCCCTCTGGCCACATCGGCTAAGTAAATTAAGCGGTAGAGAATTCCATGTTTCTAGCTATATAATAGCATCGTTCTCATCATTCTTAATGTCATTTCGCTAGTAGTTTTGCTACTGCATACTCCTTTCCGGCACTTCGTCAGCTATTTACCTACCAAAGGGGAATGAATAGACCAGCAGAATCGAGAGCAATTCGAAAGGATGAAGGCTGAATGGAAGGAGGTTGAATTGACGGAGGGAAAGCCGATAGAGTTCCGCACTCGACTAGCTATATGCGGTAAACCGATCCGAAAGTAAGTCCATGAAGTGATTGATGATAGGTTGTGTCTGCAATTTCATGATAAACTTCAGGTGTTTCTTGGGACCGTAAGCTAGATAGTCGTTCAACTCGTCAAAACGCTTTGGGGGAGCTATTTTGCCGTATTGCCGTATTGCCGTGTTGCCGTGGAGTTCCGCGGGTGAGGGGGATGATAAGGGTTCGTGGGGGAATGTACGTATACGCTTCGCGACTCGTCAGTTCTATCGTTATCCTCAGTCACTCGTCAGCTTAAATCATCTTCCGTAAACTAGTCCGAAGTAATGAGGACAACACGATAGCCTTTATTGTCCGGATATCATATCCGGAGTACAGGACTACGTCGACCGCAAGCGGTCTATAAGTGTACAATTATACGATCTTCCCTAGATATCCGATCGAGGGATTTATATCCTGGGGTATCCGAACTAGTGAACTCTAATCTCCAATCGCCAACATGCGCTCTATCTACGCCTAGAACATTTCTCGGATCAGGATACCAGTTAAGTAACTTAACATCCGGATAGGACCCGAAAACTCTCCTGAAATCGCAGATTCCTGCTCTCATACTAGCCTCCCAGTCTAGGAGGGACTTTGACTTGGAGGAAGGCTGCTGCATATCGGCCGAGTATAAGATTCTACAACTTGAAGCTATATAGAGGTTGAGAATCTTGGCAAGTCTAAAAACATTTCAACACCGTACTTTCTTACAATATCCATTTTCTCACCAAAATGGGTCTCAGCTCTCGCATTGACGGAGATGCCGTTCCTGGTACCGTACACTTAGTCGACGTCGATGGGACCTCGCATGCAATGCACTCAAAGGGTCACCAAGATATTATTCTCGTACCCGCTCCTTCGAAAAATCCTGACGACCCTCTGAATTGGACGCCTGGAAGGAAAGCCTTGAGCACTTTCTGCAATTTCACGTAAATATACCTTAGCCGATCCTTTACGTTCTCTTGCTGAAAAGTCTCAAGATATGTCATGACAATTGGGATCTCCACCGCAACCATCTACTCTGTGATTGTTCCCATCTCCGATGCCACAGGCGTCCCCGTGGGAACATTGAACTCCGGAACAGGCTACGTATGGAGTCCTTTGCAGTCTTTCTCATCGTTCATGCCAGCTCTGATTTTGTGAACTACTCTGCCAGATGCTGACTGCAGTTACAGATGTTTCTCTTGCTAGGATGGGGTCTTCTTATCTGGCAGCCCCTAGCTCTTGTATACGGAAAACGAATTGTCTACCTAGTCTCCCTTCTGGCCACAGTGGTAAGTCTAGCAGGCTTCCGCCCACATATGAGTATTCACAGACTGACATCTCGGGTAATAGGGAATTCTACTATGGGCTCCGCACACCACGACTAGCAGTCAATGGCTGGCCAACAAAATCATCCAGGGATTCTTCGCAGCCCCAATCGAGGCGCTCTGTGAGATCTCCATTGCAGACATATACTTTAGCCATGAGAGAGGCACGTATATGGGTGCATATTCACTCTTCTTATTTGGTAGCAACTTCATTGCTCCAATCATTGCAGGGTTTATCGATGATGGTCAGGGTTGGCAATGGGTCCTTTATTGGTCTGCCATCATTCCCGGTATTGGCTTCATAATCTGTTTTTTCTTTATGGAGGAGACCAATTTTTATGGCCGCGGCACAGAACTAGATACAGCAGCCGGCGGGAGCACTGATGCGGTGACAAACCCACCGATTAGTTTACACAGCGACTCGAAGAACATGGAGCTGAACTCGGATTCCGAGGCCCCTTCCCTCGGTCAAGCTTATACTATGAAGACATATTGGCAGAAGCTGGCTTTGATAGATCGTCAACCCAACCGCCCCAAAAACATCTTCCTCATGATGTATCGACCGATTCTCCTGTTGCGATTTCCGGTGCTTCTGTTCTCCGGCTTCCAATATGGTCTGACTCTCGTCATGTTCAACATCATGAATGCTACCGCCTCTTCGATCCTCGGAAGCTCGCCTTACAACTTCAGCGCGTCCATGGTAGGATTGTGCTACTTTGCTCCCTTGATCGGTGCCTTCATTGGAGCTTCTTACACTGGCTGGTTTGGAGATAAAATCGGGCTCTGGTTCGCCCGACGCAACAAGGGCATTCGAGAGCCCGAACACAAGCTTTGGCTTTTCAATGTCTCTCTCATCCTGGTGCCATCTGCCCTGATCCTTTGGGGCGTGGGCGCATATCACCATGTCCATTGGTTTGGCTTGCTATTCGGCATGGGTATGCTCGGATCTACGAATGCCATCGGGGCGACGACAGCCATCAATTATGCCGTCGACTCATATAAAGACCTCAGCGGCGAGGGTATGGTGACGGTGATCTTGATCAGAAACACCATGAGCTTTGCAATTGGATATGGTATTACACCATGGATGGCGAATACAGGTCTTCAGAACACGTTCATAGCTGCAGCCTTTATCGGTCTGGGTTTCACGGCTACTTTCTTCATCATGATAAAGTGGGGCCGGCACTTCCGACTTTCTTCAAGGGAGGCATATTGGAAGTACGTCGAGACCAGTGTTTTCGCTGGTCACTAAAGATTCGGTAGGTCAGGCGAGCGAATTGAGGAGTTTACAGGATGGCTTCATGTTCTTAATTTTAGGCGGTCGTAGAAACACTAAACAATTAAATGTCTGCAAGGTTTAGCTGAATCGAACAAACATTGACTCGGAAATAAGAAGCGAAATGCCAGACGCCCCATTTTCCCAGCAAGTCGAACACACCGATTCGATCAAGTCATTTTGATATAAAAGAGGTAACGCTGTCGAATCTGGGCCGCATCGTACAAGATGTATTCGTTGTACTGGAGAAAGGCTTAGCGTCAGTGCGCGTAGGGATTGTCACATCCCGCATCTTGACCCTCCAGGTCCTGGTACAATGGCAGGGCGGCGACCATGGCAATGCACTCCAGGCTGCATCCTGGAGTGGTCACGAAAACGTGGTGCATGTGCTGTTGGATCAAGGTGCTGATGTCAACCTCGAGGGTGGTCACTTTGGCAATGCACTCCAGGCTGCATCCTGGAGAGGTCATAGAAAAATAGTGCAACGGCTGCTAGATCAAAATGCCGACGCTAACATCCAGGCTGGACGTTGCGGCAACGCGCTCCAGGCCGCATCACCAGGGGGGCCACAAGAAGGTGGTGCAGATGCTGCTAGATCAAGGCGCTTCCGACAACGCCCAAGGAGGACGTTACTGCCATATTCGAAAACAGATTCCCCCGCATATACTCGCAGGTTGTTTCCCGAACCCTATCCTGAAACACGCTAGTCCTAATCTAGTTACTTCTCCTACAACCCCTGCCAAGCTGTATTGTATCGCTTGAACAGTAATAAATGACTCTTTGTTATGATACAGTAAGACTTTATGGAGCATCGTAGAATGTTCTCTGCAAACAGCTCAAACAGTGAAAAAGGTCTGGCAACATAGCAAGATCGCTGCCACCTGTCCTCCCTCCATCATGTACGCAGCCTTCGTCCACACTCGTTTAATACACACCACGCTCATTTCATACGCATTTGGAAGGCTGCGTTGGTTACTGGAGCACAGTAATCACCTGGTAGGAAATCATGCTTCTTCATTCCCATAGTTTATCTTTCCGTTTGCCATTTTCACCCGTTACCAGTATCTGGCGAAAGCTGGCGTCCCCATATAAGCTGACATGAGCCTCTCAAGCGTCGAGACTTATATTAGAGATGATTCAGATCCCGTACCATGCCGATCACATCTCTCAGCCCGAAGAGCTCGAAATATAGGAACAGAACTCGCAGTATGCCCCGACCCCCGGATTATTTGGCAGCCCTTACGACCCGGAATCCCCCTGCAGCCCCTCCCTTTCCTATGTGCTTAGGAATGGTGATGAGACTGCAAGCCAATCACGACCAGATGCTATCACACTCCTTCAGTTATCTAAGTGGGAATTATAGCTATTCTAGGTCAAATTTCTTAAAGAATTGTATAAGAATAGTGAAGAAATTGAGTAATTTGTATTGTATCAGCTATTTATAGAGCCCCCTAGCGCTTCCTAAGGCGATTAGACTAGGAATCCTCGTCCTAGGATGCCTATAAAGCTATTCCCGACCCCTAAGATATAGCTATGCTTGCCGGCGATGCCTACTAGGTCTCTCCACGCCCACGGCCACCTTTCTAAGAAGCTTGTTAAACTTCCTAGGCCGTAGATAAAGCTATTCCTACCCCGTTATCTCCCTACGATACCTATTATGTCCCTCCACGTCCTCTACCGCGTCCTCTACCACGTCCACAGCCCCGTCCACCTTCCTATGAAGCTTATTAAGCTTCCTAGGCCGTAGATAAAGCTATTCCTACCTCGTTATCTCCCTACGATACCTATTATGTCCCTCCACGTCCTCTACCGCGTCCTCTACCACGTCTACCTTCCTAAGATAGTATAAGCTCGAAGCCGGAGGGGTCTCGCTAGATAGAGGTATCTTAGGTGCTTACTTAGGTGCTTACTCCGCCGCCGATAAAGTTCCTAACGCCTAAAGGGCGTCCTTGCCGGCGTACTTAGAGAGGATCCTAGAGTAGGAGTAACGGGTTAATAGGAGGTGCAAATATACTATATAAATGCTAGTGTTAATAAAAAAACTTAGACTTAAAGCTCTTCTCCTCTTCTTCGTACTATATAATAAGATAAATATATAGAAACCCTGCCGTATTCTTCGAGTTATAGGTGTATAATAGAGGAATTAGTGGCTTATCTTTAGCTTCCGGTAGGAAGCGGTTATAGATATTCTTTGTATACTTAATAGCCTTAGCCGAAATTCGTCTAATAACTAGCCTAAATAGCTACTTCTAGCGAGTATTAGTAGACCTCCTAATCTTATTATTCTTATTCGTATCGGTGACCTTCTTAAATTGAAGCTTTATAGTATTCTTAAAGGTGCGGAGGATAACTAGTAGATTATTAGTTAAGACTTAAAGGTCCTACTTAAGTAGCTAGTGAGCTCCTTCGGTCTAAGATATCGAGATTTTATTAAGATAAAGGTATTCGGCGGTGTATTTATAAAGGAAATACTCGGGGTAGTTATCTAGCTATTCACTCCGTAGGTAATTAAGTAAAGGCCTAAAAATCGGCTCTTTATAGTATTCTTAAAGCTATCTCTATCTCTCCTATCTCTCTTCCGTAGTGATAGCGTAGACGATACGTATCTACCGCTTTAGTATTATCTTCTACGCTTTATCGACTATTTCTCGAAGCTCTCGGTCTCTATCTACCTTCGTCCGACGCTATAAAGAAGCCGAAGAAGGGTTTACTAGATCTTTAGCCTCTTGTCGAGCTTTTGCGAGCTACAGATACAGGTCATATGTTCTTACCCACTGCCCCACTACAATTTGACCCGGCAACCAACCCACCATTTATTTTTCTTCCTACACCTCCCCTATTGCTCCAAGCGCAACTTACTGCTATACAAAGGTCAGCTATTATATCTGCTCACGAGTGTGGTGTCTCACAGGTGAAATTAGCTAATGATTTCGGCTGTTCTCGCAAGACAATCTACAATACGCTAAAACGCTAATTAGAAGGCGAAAAGCTAGAGAATCGTGAAAAGACCGCCGTCCTTCGAAGCTAGACTCTCGAGCTACTACATGCCTCTATTTATAAGCGCGTCGGCACCCGTTTTAGACCTATAAATAGCTTAGTGCTGCGACACCCGGTTATCCGGCTCGGTCTACTATATAGCGAGTTTTAAGGCAATTCGGACTTAGAAAACGGCGTTCGAAAAGGAAGATACCAATTAAGCCCTCTCTCATAAGGAAACGGCTAAGATTTGCGCGAAAATAGCGGCATGAAAGCTTTCAATCGTGGATCTTCTCGGACGAGTGTTTGGTGTAGCGAACCTCGAACTTTGGACCACAATAGTGCTTCCGTACGGACTCTAAGGGTCTTCGCCGCGATCTTATAAATACGAAAGTACACGTTAAAGATATTTCACAAATGGGTTAGGCCGGAATCTAGATAGGATGTCGAATAGATTTAATAATTATAGAACGGGACGAAGAATCGCGGTCGGGAAGGGGTTATACTACAAATTCATATATTTTGACGCTCAAAAAGGGTCTGATACTAATCTACACCCCTAATTTAGTATTTTAGCAAGATAACACGACGATTTATCTAGTAGAGGACACGAAAGAGTGGTTTAAAACTCACAGAGTATATATCGAGGATTAGCCCGCGTACTTACCCGATTTTAACCTAATTAAACTAGTATAGCGCTAGTTAAAAGTGAAGCTTTTTGCGATATTTCTAGAGCTTATTAGCTAAGGAAGGTCGGAGGCAGACTAGAAATATTTTAAAAAATGCCTAGTAGAAGCTTAGAAGGTATTAGATCAGTCAAAGATAGATTCGCTAATATTGAGCATAGGAAGACGTTTGTAGGCAGTGAGGAAGGCTAAGGGGTATTACACTAAATATTAAGCGAATTTTCGAAAGTGCTATTATTAAGCAACCCTAAAATTTAATTATAATATTATAGACCATAGCTATAGCTTTTTCCTAAAATTAATAGCTAAAATAAAATTAGTAAGGACCTACAAAAATATAGAAGGATATAGGAATATACCCCTTTCTTTAGAAATCTTATAATCTCTACTCTCTTCCCTTACTTACTCCTTAGATATCTAGCTATCTTAAGATATTTCTATATTATTAATATACTATAATACTATACTTTGCTTATAGCCTTTAAGTTAATAGTATAAGGATACTTAAGAATAGTTCTATAACGTTAATATATAACTTTTAGTGCACTATCTACACTCGAAGTAACCTAGTAGTAGTGGTTCTAAATCTCTAAATAGCGGGACGAATCCTACTTAATCTTACTCTTTCTCCTAAAATTAGTTTATAGCTACTAGTCTACCTAGTCGTTATATAATATTCTATTATAGAGAATAAACGCCTTCTTTTAGTTAGATCTAATGTGTATAAAAGAGGAGGGGACTAGAAGAGGGATATTTAGTTAGAGAAAGTTAGGGTTAAAGGCGTCGAGTATATATTAACTACTAGATAGAGTAGCTAGGTAGTTTAATAGTGTAAGAAAGCTAAGATTATCTATTTTACTATTATAAAGAGAGGATACGAAGTTAGACTACTAGCTTTATAATATAATAAATTAGCTTAGTAGTAAATATTAAAGGTAGGATAGAATAGGAGAATAGAGATACCTACTAAGTAATAATATCTATTAATAGTAGGGAGTAAATCTACTAAATATGATATATTAATTTAAAAAAGAAATATAATATATAGAAGCTATTTATTAGTTAAATAACTCTACCTTTATATAGGTCTAACCTAACAACCTAGTAATAACCTAGAAAACCCAGAAAAAACCTAATTCCTACCCTAACTTCTACCTTAGATCCTTAAAAATTTTATCCTACCCTACTAGAAAGAGAGACTCTAGGATTAAAATAGCCTTACTAGCTACCTACCCTTCTTTAATTAGTCTTTTAAGTAGAGTAACCTATTTAGTTAAATTAAATAGATATTTTCTATATATAATATTAACTACTTATAGTAAAATAATAAATTTTTTAAATAATCCTACTAAGTCTAGGATTATACACTAAGTATTTTATAAAGTAAATATATATTTCTATAACTTTAGACAAATGTTTTCCTAAAACCACTAAAATACACTATATTACCTTAAATATAATATCTTAATAGGTAATTAATTATAAGCTAGATCTACTCTTTAAGATTATAGCGCTATTCCTCAAAATTTCGAAAGGTTTATACTAGGAAAGCAAAGTGTTTCAGGGTATAAACTAGAACAGATATAAAAAATAGTAAATTATTTTAATGACCGAGCAGCTTTATGATCAAAATTATGCAAAAACTAGGTCGAGTTAGGTCTATATTAGGTTTTACTAGGGCCCTAGTATTAGGTCCGGGTTAGGTCCGGGTTAGGGGACTTAGGGTTAGGGTTAGGGTTAGGCTAGGTTAGGTTTTGGGTCGGAGCCTTCGACCCAAATTGGATTATGCGGAAGTTTAAAGAGATCTGTACATGAATCCTGAGGACTCCGTTACAACCTGGCTCTTCTCTCAAGCTGCGAATCCCCTACTAAATACAAACTTCCCACACTTGATTTTATAAGTGTACAAACTGTGAGCGACAAAGCTCTCCCCTTTCTTAAGCTCAATATAGGCCTCTGGAAAGCCAGATTTCTCAAACGGCTCCTTGGTTACGTCGTTCTTAGCCACAAAGGTGGTCTTGACCTCGGCGGCGATACCATCCTCGGCTTGGTAGAAATTCACCAATTTAAAGGTTTCCACGAGCTGTTCGGCGGTGACGTCCATCAGACGAAGAAGCTGCGTCTTATTGTAGGTAAAACCCCCGGAGGAAATCTCGAGAGAATCGTCGTAGTAATGTTCCGCGATGTCACGGACCTTGCCCAGGTTTACTTGCGTCAGGTAATTCTCGTAGGCTGCTTGGTCCATTTTGGCTGGAGTTGTTAGCTAGAACTTCTCATGATTGGATTGGTGTTCATTTACTAGGACTTGTGTGGTAGACTGGTATTGAGCAGCAGGCTAGTCAAAGTTCAAGGTAAAAGGTGTGATTGAGCGTAACTCAACTTAGAGAAACTAACTTGAGAGTTGATTCTATTGAAGTGGGATCGGACTGGGGCCTTATATTAGAGGATCGGCTTATCCTAAGGTTCGTGGCTACCATGGAGGATCTTAGCCAATCTACAATCTATCTGAGTTGGACACAAGACTGATGATTTTCCAAAGAACACTATCATCGGTCACAGTGTGAGTTTCTGTCAAGAACCTCACCGATAATGCCTATGAAAATACTCGCTCAGAACTTCTTGTCTTGGATGGTTGACCAATGCCTCCATGTCATTGGTCAAAATTAGAGACCTACATGACGAAACAATTTCGGATTGGGAAGTTTCTAACGAGTATGAGGGTGCGTAAGATAGCATGCTAGATACGCCCCAGGCTTTGTCCGGTCGACATAACCGTGAGTCAGCGCTCAACCATTTCCCTTGCGAATAAAGAGACGCATTTAGATCAAATATCAATTTTGGTACTTTTAGACACCCTCTCGAGATACTTTACTTGCCTCTGTTTCAATAGCTTGACTTCATCTTCCACAAAAAAATCCACAATCTCGCAAAATGGCACCCGAAAAGGTTTCATTCCAAACATCTGACAACGTCACGATTCGCGGGTGGTTCTTTCAACCATGCCCGTCACCATCTACACCCTTGCCCTGTCTTGTGATGTGCCACGGCTTTTCCGCCGTGAAGGAGATGGACCTAAACACATTTGCCGAGTACTTCACCTCCAATTTACTAATGAGCTGTCTCGTATTTGACCACCGGGGCTTTGGCGAGAGCAACGCAAAGCAAGGACAGCCGCGGTTGGAGATCATCCCCTCCCAGCAGACTAGCGATATCTCTGATGCAATCACGTATGCACAATCTCGCCCAGACGTTCAAGCCGACAAAATCGGCATTTGGGGCAGCTCCTTCAGTGGTGGCCATGCGCTTTGGGTGGGAGCTACAGACAAGCGGGTTAAAGCCGTGTTGTCCCAAGTCCCTTGCGTGGATGGCTATAGTAATTTCCAGAGACTGATTCGCCCGGACTTTGTGGGAAGTATGAACGTTCTTTTTCAAAAAGGTAGGGAATTTACAATAATGCCGAATGGACTTTGTAGTTTAAGCTCACTCAAAATTTCTAGACCGATTGGATCGCGCTTCTGGGAAAGCTCCTGCAATGTTGCCAGTCATCGATTCCAACCCTCAGAATCCATCTGCGTTACCCACGCCAGGTAGCTATCATTTCTTTTCTAGCTGGGCTGGAAAGTCCGATTGGCAAAACCAAGTTACTCTGAAAAGGTATATGCCCTTTGTTTTTTCATTATCGTGGGAATTGGAGCCGAAGAAAATACTGACTATTTATAGCGTCGAAGCGCTCCGGGAGTATTGTCCATCGGCTCATATTCATCGCATTGCGCCGGTACCGTTATTGATGACAGTGGCCGTTAATGACGTCCTCTCGCCCACTGATTTAGCTCTAGAAGCCTTTTCACGCGCATTGGAGCCCAAGACCCTTCAGATGCTTCCAGGCGGACATTTCGATGCGTATTCTGGTCCAAACTTTGATCGGAATGCAGCATTCCAGGCACAGTTTCTGAAAGATCACCTTATTTGACCATAGCAGTAATCAGTTTAGCTTGAAAATAACTCATTGAGGATTCATATATAGTGTTTCCAACCGGACCGATGTACATAGTCATTGCTTTAAATTGATTATTTTCATAGAATGGCGTAAAATAAAGGCGTAACAGCAAATACTGAAAACAGAAAAGAATACCAGAATTGAGCTCTTGTTAAAGGCCTGCGATCTGAATTTATTGTTACATAAAATTATCGAAGGATATTTTGAGCAGACATCGAGTAAAGAAAGACCCCCAAACGCGAATCGATAAAAGAAATAGCTACCACCATAAACTTGTCACCAAGAGGCCCTCAGACACCACCCGTTGCATCTTCTGTCACCAGAGCCACTTGTGGCTCTCTGTACGACTTTCGGGAATGAGCGAACCAATTGATCAAGCTAACAACACAAACTCCAGCCACGACAGCAATTGCATAATTCATGGTCACAGCTGTGACAGGAAGATAAAGAGGGAAGAAAAGCCATACTGTGATGAAAATGGTCCACACAATGGCAATGATATTCAAGACCACCCCAAAGCGCCCAAGGTTGAAATAACGCTTCTTGGGAAGGTTCTTTCTGGCTCCGATGAACGCGATAATGGGGACAACGTAGGACAACATAATGCAAATAATGCCAGCACCGAGGATTGCATTGATCGCAGTTGTTGAGCCGAGCTGGATCGCGCCGAGAGCGACCGTAGCAGAGAAACCAAACAGGATAGCAGGGACGGACAATTCATTCCCGCCACTTATTTTTGAGAACAAGCAAGGGAATGGTGTGCCATTTTCCCTTGCTAGAGACCACCAAATCCTGCTGAATGTTGTAAGGACGGTGACTGCGGACATGATCATCGAGACGATAAGGAGTAGGGACGATATTATGGTTAATGGCAATGAGGCCATTGAATCAAGAAAGAGCTGGATGATAGGCTGGCCACCCACTGGGTTGTAGAGAGCTTCTTGGTCAACAATTGAGAATAGATACGCCAAGACCATTGGGATAGCAGCGACGAAGCTGAGTAAAGTGCTGATTACCATGACTTTGGGAACCTGCTTTTTGGGCTCAGGCATTTCCTCAGACATATGTGCTGCTGAATCGAATGCATTCACCGCAGTCACACCCGGTAGAAGCCCAATGAAAAATACCACACCCTTGGAATCCCAGCCCGTCAGGTTGATGATATCCACGAACACTGCTCTGGCGCTTTGCTTGGGGGTTGCTCGGACAAGGATAGCGACGAAGATAAAGATAGCTCCTATGTTGGTGTACAAGACCATGGTCTTCAGGAGATGCGGATACCATCGAAATAGTGGGATGTTGATTACCAATGCGATAGAAGCGCACGCGATGAAAAGCAAGTAGAAGTGCCAGGCTTGGGTCACAAAGGCTGAGTCGCAGGCTTGGACGAGAGCCCAGGTGAGTTGTGAGGTTAGGAGGCACGACGAGGCACACCAGAAGAGCCAGCCAGCAGAAGTTAGCCAACCGCAGAGATAGCTCATTGGTCGTGCGAACTTCTTCGGGGACAAGACTGCAGTCCAGTAGATTTGACCTGCGTTGGATCAGTCTCACGCCCTCAAGAATTAATCGAATGCAAGACTTACCCGATGCATGGGGATATACTGCCGAAATCTCAGCCAAAGAAAGGCAGATGCAGAGATTCATCAGCGCCGAGAAGATGTACCCGAAGAAGAACACAGGGCTTCCTCCGACACCCACACTGGCGGAGAGGTAAGAGCCGATGGATAGAGGTGTGCAAGTGACCGAAAAGGCTAGTCCCAGTGTGCTCCACAGGTTGAAGGGTCGTTGATGCAGCTCCTCCACAAACCCCACATCCATTGCAAAGTCGGAATTGGCTTGAGTACTGGACTCAATGGCTGGTTTTTTGTTTGAGCTTGCCATGTTGATTCCCTGTACTCGATATAGGGGTTCAAAGGGGAATAGGCACAGCAGGCTCTAGAAGTGCGGCTCGAATGCGAACCGTCCGCTCAGGGCTTTCCTGTATCTTATATAAAGTCACCACTGGATATCCCTGTCATAGCCATATCATGGTCTCCCGAGTCCGTAGTTTGTCGGTTTGTTATCATCGAGATGGTAGGTTCCAGCCACAGTCTCCCCGCCTTTACTTGTGAATCAGAAATGGAAGTTCGGAGCGATGATTTCGCCCGCCTTATCAGCCTAGGGCCAGACTCAATAACATCCATTAATTGAGGGTAGGGTTCTTCGCCTCGGCACTTCGGAGGGTGGATCTCCTGGTCCCACCAGCCAACGACAGCCGCCAATCGAATTCCCAGCTCTCGATTTCCGGATTCGAACACCACGAGGCGTAACAGCTCCTAGAGAAAGGAATCCCTGGTCTACAAGGATGGAAATAGATGAAAGGCAGCGGTCTTGTTGATGGCAATCCTCTCTGTGATGCATGAAGAAAGGAAAGAGTTAAGAATACAGTTCGAAGGGAAGAACCCCCCGGGCTCATCACGTGATTATCCGTAGTTCGTTCCTCCTCTGATTAATCCCTGTCATTAATGAGTTAAACCTTCTTATCCCAGCTGTTCTTTTAGAGCTGTCCGATCATTATCTATCTTTCATCCATCCTGCCAGCTAGTTGCTATCAATTGGAGCAAATCATACCGCATATACCCTGGAGGGAGAACTGTGATTGCATCAAGTTTAATCTAATTAAGCATCTGGAGCAGAAGGACTTGGGGCCCAAGATACAACTAAAGTCAAACCCGAAAGATTTAACATAATGAAGCCAGTGTAGTCTTCAATGCTTTATAGACAAATTATAACGTTAGATATAGAATAACACATGCTAGAACCAGCTTAGAGAAACCACATATCTTCATTTCGCTACCAGGAAGATAAAAACAACCGGTTACTTGAAACGCGATATATAGATAAATCCAATCGTATTGTAAAAGATATAACACTAAGGCCTCCAACTGAGACGCATATCATACACACACCATTCCCCCATTTGCACAAACCGTGCTACCAGTCGTCCACCTGCTCTGCTCCTCACTTAAAAAGGCAACAATAAGCGCAATATCCTCCACCGTGCCAATCCGCGGTGCTGCAGGAGTTTCCACAGCCTTCTTCGCTTTCCATTCATCGCGCACCGCCTTGTCTGTCTGCTGCCACATATCGGTATCCACCGGACCGGGATTCACGCAGTTCACCGTAGCACCATACTTATGGCCCAGCTCAACGGCGAGCACTTTAGTGACTCCCTCCAAAGCTGCCTTGGAAGCAGTGTAGGCAGTCGCCTGCGCGCTCCCCACACGCGCCATGACACTGGACAGGTTGACGATACGGGGAGCGTCGCCGAAGAAAGGCATCGCCGCCTTGACAAGGAACGTGGGCATGCGGACATTGATGGTCATGTGGCGATCGAAGTCAGACTCGGTCAAGTTGTCGAGGAAAATGTCGTCGCCGATCCCGGCGTTGTTGATTATGATGTGAACTTTGCCCCATGCTTCGACGAGGGCCGCCACGATCTTGCGGGGTGATTCGATGTTTTGAGAGCTTGCTTGGAGAGCGATTGCTTTTGTTCCGAGCTTTTCGATCTCAGCCACAACATCCTCGGCGACATTGGCGGACTTTCTCGTATGTGATGAGGACGTTGGCGCCGCGTTTGGCAAGCTCTAACGCTATACCTTTGCCGATGCCTCGCGAGCCGCCCGTGACAATGGCATTGCGTCCAGTGAGACTCTTGGACATATTGAATTGTGGAAATTAGAGATGAGGGAGTTAAGTAGGAGGGGTTCCTGCTACGATGATGAACAAATTGTAGTGTCGGTTGATGTGGGACAAAGCAGATGATGGTTTTTGAAACCACAGATATATACCTGACAATCGGTTGTTATTCCCCGGATACCAAAATACCTCGATAGATAAAGCTTGAAGGTTATCTGTGATGTTCCGCGTTAATGTAATTCAATGATCCCCCGCGCTGCATGATGAGGCAGTTCCAAGCGACGAAAAGATCTCCACTCACCTCAGCTTGTGAAAACTTGGGAAGTTGAGAGCGAGCTTGCATCCTGAATCGCAAATGGCAAGCCGAATCATTCAGTGCCTGTAATCTTTTGCCACATTTACTCTCGATAGCTCTTATCAACTGTGGACATCGGGTAAAATAAACGGGGCGCTTGTGGTGGAAAGAAAGTCTGGAGCGAATTCATCAACTATATATTGAGAATCTGATGTTCTGTCTTCATTGAAACAAAAGGAAAAGAGAGATTCTAAATACAGATATCCTCTCCCACTACCTCCAACTTTTCAATCTCGCATTGTCACTATGGCCCAAACAGTTGTTGAATCTACCGTGAGCGAAAAGCACGATGTTTCCCCGGCATCTCCCAAGAAAAGCATTCCAGCTTTGTCGCCGCAAGTGGCGGAGTTGATGAAGAAAGAAAGCGAGTATATTGTTGGTGGCTTTACACCACTCCCAGCGTACATTACAGGTGGCCAGGGGTCAATGCTTCGGGTAGGTTCAATGAGTGTCAACATTACCTTGACACATTGGAATAAATACTTATATTGAATTTGAATCCAGAGTATCGATGGAAAGGAATACATTGACTTCATTGCAATGTTCAGTGCCGGGAGTCTGGGACAGTGCCATCCTAAATTAGTTGAAGCTGTTACTTCGACTGCTCAAACTTGTAAGAAACACGGTTCCTGAACTGGATTGTTTTATCAAGAGCCAATTTTCTGACATGCATGATATTCTCTGCAAAAAGCTACGATTGTCAACACTTCCTTGCGTGTGGCCAGCTGGCCCACATTTGCTGAAATGATGTGCTGTAGGTTTGGATATGACAAGATCAACGCCGCCGTCACTGGATCAGAGGCAGCGGATACCGCGGTGAAGATTGCACGGAAATGGGGTCAACAGGTGAAGGGCATTTCAGCACACAAAATGCTCGTTCTTGGCGTCGGAGACAACTACCATGGTCTATTATCCGGAATTTGGCCCATTATGAACCCAGATGTGGAAAGAGATGGTAAGTTTGGAGAGAATTAGCATTAGAACCTTCGACCAAGTATGCGGTCTAACAAATGATCCATTCTTATAGCATATGGAGTCTTTGACGACAAGCTCACCAATGTACATCCGGTCAAAAAGACGATCCTGCGGTACGGCCACATCGAGGACATGGAAGAATGTTTGGCAGAGCACCATGGTAATGTTGCTGCTATCATCATGGAGTGTATTCATGGCCATTTGCCGTAGGTGCTGACCTTATATAATTGTGATAAGCCAATAGAGTCTCGCTAACTTTCAATTAAGAACCTTCGAGCAAGACAAACAATACGCCCGTGCAGTTGCTCTACTGTGCAAGAAATACAACATCCTCTTCATCTCCGATGAAATCCGCATGGGCGCAGGTAAAACAGGGCGCTTCCTGTGCTCCGAATGGCTGGGTGAAGACATCAAGCCGGATATGATCACAATCGGCAAAAGCATCACGGGAGGAGCCTATCCGGCTGCCTTCGTCCTAGGCAACAATGAAACCATGTCCCTCGTCAAGCCCTACCAGTGTGCAGGTACTTTCGCGCAGACACCCATGGCCATCGCCTGTACCACAACCGCCTTGAAAATCATCGATGAAGAAGGTCTGGTAACACGGGCGGCGAAGATCCAAGACCAATTCCTTGAATATACCAAAGACTGGGTGCAGAAGTTTGCGTTCGTTGAGTTTGTTACCGCTCGCGGAGCGGATTTCAATATCACGCTCAAGTTGGATTATCACAACCCTCTTGTTACGGCAAGACGCTTTGCTGCTTTGGCCATGCACAAGGGGTTGGTCACATATCCGTTGGAGGGGCGTATTCGGATGTCGATTGCGATGACCATCCCTGACGAGGCTTTGCAGAGAGGCTTTGAGATCCTACGAGAGACTGCCGAGGAGATTGAGCAGTATGAGGAGATTGCGGGTGGTGTTCATGAAACCGAGTAAGCCTCTTGGAGTTCTGTCACTTATGATGGGATTAGTCGAAGATTATGTTTGGACAGGTGAGATTTTTTGGTCAATATGCTAGTTCTTTTCCATTGTTATTAGAATCGGATGCGTACGTTTCGGATCAATCCATGTACTCGTATTCATATTCAAACCAAAAGAATATCAAGGCCCAATTCATCCATGACCTGGGTCCAATGAAAAAAAGGATCTACTGGATGCGACTCTTTTTGTCGTCTTTGGACTTCTAGTAATACCTCCTTTGCCGCGGAGTAGTTTCCTATCTTCCTGGGCCAGTCCAGATCAAAAAAGGCGATAGTGGTCTTGCAAACTTCCGGGTCCGTAGCTTCAGCCGCTATAATGAAGATGGGCCAGGAAATATAAGGCCCTTGTAATTCATGGTCATGGGAGAGGATGCCTTGGATGTACGGAAACGCAGCTGTCACGATCCACTGCACATCTGCAACAGAGGTGTGTAGAACTTGTCTCTCAAAATAGATCTCACAGGCATAATAGAACAAATATCGAACGCACATCCGAGCGTACGCATCGGGTGCATCTGACGAATAGTGATGGAAGAATTCAGGATTTGAAGAGGTAATCTGGAACCCAAGAGCTTCAATGTCCTCTTGGGATGCCAGAGTGCCTTTCTGGACCAATATATTTGTCCAAATTATACACTCAAAGACATTAAGGGGTAACCCGAACATGCGTTCTAGCTGATATGAATCATGCAGCACCGGGACCTTGAGCCTGAACCTGTCGGTTGTGCTGTATTTGAGCGACAAAAAAGAGTCATGCACGGAAGGAGTAGCTTTTCCTTTACCCGAGAAGCCAAGGACCTCCAGTAAAAGAATTAGCTCAATTAATATGGAAGCATTGGGGTCTTGAGATGGTAACTCCAGCTCTTGTGACCTGATCCACAACCTTCCGGCGTGTAGATGCATTTGCCAGCTTTCGCGGGAGTCTGGCAAAGGACGGAACACGTCAATTAAGCTACTCATGGTGATCGCTGCGAGAACCGCTAGGCCTTGATGAGCCTCTTGTGCACAGAAGCAAAGGCTGAGAAGATTCAATGTCTTGGAATAGTAAGCCTCTCCCAGCTTAGTATATTCGCCACTGTCCTGGACCATTCGGGCTTTACTGAATGCAGATGCAGTAATAACCGACCAGAAGACCGCACTATTCGCGGGACTCATCCGGTCCGGGTTCGTCGACTCGATCATAGGGGTGATTATAGTGACGTAAGGGTTTTCCGTTGCGAACGGGATCATCAACCGGCTAAGGTATCGTTTCCAGTGATGGAGTAGTTCACACAGCTTGAGAGAAGAGTCGACATCTGACTGGGTGGAGACAGCAACCGGAGAATGCCAGGATATTGCTGTCTGGCTGGGGGTGAGATAATCTGTGCTGACTAGACCAGTAGATGGGTTGGATAGCGGGGATAGATGGCCCGGGGCACTGGATAGGGTATCATGGAGAGCCCTAACATCATCAGCCCCGGGCTGCGTAAAGGTGAAATCGTCATCCCCGGTGTATAAGGGGTCATCCGGTGTTGGAGCAGCTGCCACGGCAGTTGCAAATAACGGAGAATTGGAATGTGGGGTTGCAGTTGACTGGGGCTCCAGCCGAAATACCCCGAATGGACCCTGCTGCAGTGGACGTGCATGATCGTGTTGTTCGCTGTTCACTTTGATTTCGTGTAAAACCATATCTAGCTCCTCCTCGTTGTAGGACGGCAGGCTCACGTTGAACATGGTCCGCGAGGGGATGTGGCGGCGTTTGGGCTGACTAGGGGTATTCTCGTCGCCATCGTTGTCTCTACGTGAAAATAGATCTCTAGATCCCCATTGTGATGCCGCTTGTCTTCGACAAAGCTGTTCTGGCGTGATAGTAAGCCAGGTGAGACGGACGTCGAAACCCTCGCATTCGCGGTTGGCATTGATGCATTTGAAACATTGTGGTTTAGTTTCATCGCATCGAATGCTTCGTTGTCGGCAGGTCCAGCATCCGTTGAACGATTTATTTGCTTTTTTTAAGGGCGTCCGTAATTCCACGTCGCAATTCTCCGGCATGATGCTAGGGTCGATAAGGGTTGGCATTACGGACTCAGACTTGGCCCGTGATCATCGAGCTCAACAAGGAGCTTTCCAGTGCAGCATTTTGGTCTCTAGGAAGCAAGGTAGTTCCTTGCCTGGCCCGAGGGGTAAATAGGTTGACTCAGATTTCTCTTATCGCGGAGTTGTTCATTATCTCCGGATGTCGGCTACCTCCGGAACAGCACATTTACGTAATGCAAAGGTTCCTCTCAATTGGAAGATGACGATTACTACTCAGAATGTGAAGATTGAACTTGTTCTCATATCAACTTTTTTGCAAGGAATCTTCGGAGGTATGCATAGTATGCTCATTTATGAAATCAACTGACAAATTCGGAGGATGGATATGGATACAATTCAAGTGGGTGAGGCAGTAGAACCCGAGAGTGGACCACGGTTACCTAGTGCCTCTCTTCGCTCTGAATTGCCTAATTCTGATTTGGAGCCTACAGTCCATTCCATAGTCGTGATTTATCACTCTCAATATTGCTTAACGAAGGACTGGTGGTTCTATGGCTTCTGTCTGATATCGCCCCAGATAGTCCTACCAAAACATCTATTATAAAATTCACACCGATCTCCGACTCCTTGTAGGTTGCAGACAAAGAGAAACAACGGCATCATAACGCTAAAAATGTCGGGTATCTTTAAGTAAGTGGGCATTTCCTCCAGCCCCGAGCATACTCCAGTGAAGTAGCTGTTCTCTAACTTTGCTATAGCCTCAAAGGCAGAGTTGCCATCGTCACTGGCTCATCATCTGGCCTTGGCCGAGCAATTGCTTTGACACTGGCTTCAGTAGGGGCGAGTGTTGTGTGCAGCGACATCACGCCCGACTTGCGGCCTGGTGGATATGAAAAAGACAATGTGTCAACGCATGAGGTAATCGCTAGGACGGGAAAGGCCACCTTCAAGAAAGCAGATGCCAGTGCAGCAGAGGATATGGAGGCACTCGTCGAAGCAGCAGTGGCCACATATGGTCGCCTCGATATGTATGTTTGAGTACTTTGCCTGCAGCGATCCTTCCTAAATTATACCCAAAGCATGGTCAACAATGCAGGAGTCTTTTGTGGGCAACACAAGATTGCGGAAGAGTCAGTTGATGCATTTGATAAGACAATGGTAGGGCAACTGGACATTTCCTTCAAATATGACAGAGAAGCTTACTTATACAGGGAGTCAATTCCCGTGGTGTCTTTCTTGGAATGAAGTATGCCATTGCGCAGATGATGAAGCAGGACCCTCTGCCCTCTGGAGACCGAGGTTGGATAGTCAACATCTCATCGATCGGTGGCTTGGTGGGGCTTTCAATGGAACGTATGGAGTTCTTTTCTCCGTGAGAACAATCAGAAACGACCATGAGTTGCTAACCAAATCTCAGCCTCCTACTGTGCCAGCAAAGCTGCAGTTGTGGGATTGACTCGTCAAGCAGCATTTGACTACGCCCCTGATAAGATCCACATCAATGCTGTCTGTCCTGGGTTTATCGAAACTGCCATGGTTCGCTCTGCCATGGAGGATGAGACACTTAATAAAGAGATCCGCGGTGCTACTCCATGGCCACGCTTGGGCTTGCCAGAGGATATTGGCAAAGCCGTGCTTTTCCTGAGTGGTGATGGTGCGAGTTGGATTACAGGCGCCATCTTGAATGTTGATGGTGGGTACATTTCACAGTGATAGAAAAGTAAAAAATGGGTATTGTATCCATTGTCCATATATACTTCATATATTCCACATTGCGATTTCACTATCAAGTATGCATTGTGAGAAGCTCAGGATAATTCTGAATGAGCCATAGCAATCCTGGAACATCTGAATTAATAGGTCGACATAAACACGCCCGATTCGTGTCTTTTGCGGATGCTTCTTTTTCAAGGCACGAAACATGAAGGTGTGAGAAACGATGTGTCTATCATCCCATTGTATGTCTCACTCCATAGCGACACGATCTGGTCTAGCACATCGAGAGCTGATGGTCCGACTTGCTCATTGGTCAGCCATAGAGGCGAAACTAGGTCGTCTACAGTCAAATTGCAGGGAAGTATTGCGTGAAATTTAAAGGATGTCGAATACTAAGTCTATGGTGAAATAGTGTAAAACAAGTGAGATAATAGCTAGGGATCTTACAAACCCCCTAAATTACCTGCTACCCCGCCTAAATTTAATAGGTAAATAAAATTGAAGTGTTTTAACTCGTCTTACGTCCTGAAGTTATTCGCAACCACTAGCCTGGTTTCCCGCACCATATTAGAACATCTCTGATTTCTGTCGCGAATTTCTCGATAACTTGTAGACTAGGTGAGTTGTAATAAAAATAGGGAATAATTTAGATACACTTTTATAGCTTGTCAAAATTTCAGACTAATTGGATATCATTAGACCTCTCTAATGTGACGCATGACAGATTGGACCACTTAGGAAATTTGCCTAGTAGCTGAATCGGGAAGGCGGTGATTGCATGGGTCCGAGATGATCCCTATAGCCGTGTCACAGGACCCCCCACCCTCGCGGGTAGGGGGTGTCCCTCAGCCATAATGCAATTAACAGCCATAATGCAAATTTTCAATTTCTTCAAGTTCTAGCTCATTTTCCGGGCGTATAAGGTCTAGGATCCATGAAATAAAGCCCATCAATAGCCTCATTAGCCAATAATGTATCATCCTCCTCATTTTCAGCTGACTCCTCCAATTCCTTAGCCGCCAAATCGGCCCCATAGTGAAGGAAAAACCATAACCTGCAGTCTACTAGACTGCAGGTAGACTGCAGGTACCCCCGTCGGATAGGGCCTCTCCTTATTCCACATTACGTGTCATGCAAATATGCTTCCCGACAGTGTAAAAGGCAAACGGCTTCCACTTAATCTCCCACACTCTCCCGATCGGCCCTCGAGCTTTGATATCTCCACTATATTTCTCCGAGGGCTTGGGCCCCTTCTACCAATCTTTGCTCCTTAACGGATCGCCTGAGTTATCCTATAATTACTTCAATTGCATCCACGTGCTGGTACGGTCATAAGAATACGTAAAGGCAGCCTTGCAATTCGTCTGTAGAATGCATGTTCACCAGTGTCAAATCAACCTCCACGGACGTTTATCTCCGCAACATGGGCTATAAAATGTGAGGATTGTCCAATCTCGGGACGACGATTCCTGTCCATCCCCGGTTCATTCAACAACGAGGACTGGCAGTTGAAACACCTTTGTCTCGTTGCTGTTCGCCATGGATCGTGTCGTGACCCTCGTTTCTGCTGCGTTGACAGCATCCACTCTCTTCGCCAACTTGGTCAGTGCATCAGGCCAAAATGGCACCATCCCGATGCAACTCAGACTGGCTTATGCCGGATCAACCGGCATGGTTGTCAGTTGGAACACCTACTCGCAATTGTCGCACCCGACTGTCCGTTACGGTCGTGACCCCGAGCACCTGAACCGTGTTGCTTCTTCCGACGTCTCCGTTACCTACCCTACGTCCACAACCTACAACAACCATGTTTCTATCGCGCATTTGGAGCCCAACACTCTTTACTACTATCAGCCGTATGATAGCAACTCATCAGTTCCCTACACCTTCAAGACCAGTCGTCACGCAGGCGACAAGACTCCCTACTCGATCGCTGTTGCCGTCGATATGGGTCTCATGGGCCCTCGGGGTTTGACCACAACAGTAGGCGCTGGAGCCGGCCACCCTCTTGGTCCTCATGACAACAACACTATGCAATCCTTGCAGGCACAGGGCGCTGATACCGACTTCCTGTGGCATCGTAAGTTTTTCCTAAGTGAGCTATGCGATGGGATACGTCTACTCACGTGGTTTCCATATAGCGGGTGACATTGCCTACGCGGACTACTGGTTGAAGGAGGAAATCCAGGGCTTCCTCCCTAACACCACAATCGGGGATGGTGCCAAGGTCTACGAGTCTCTTCTTAACCAATACTATGATGAAGTTTCGGCGATCTCTGCTCGTAAGCCGTACATGGTTGGACCTGGTAACCACGAGGCTAACTGTATGGGATCTCGTTTGCGACCCGTTTTTTCCACTACTAGCAACTGACGGATTTCCAACAGGTGACAATGGTGGTACCACTGACAAGGCGCACAACATCACCTACGACGTGTCTATTTGCATGCCTGGTCAGACCAACTTCACGGGCTTCCGCAACCACTTCCGCATGCCCAGTGCCCAATCCGGTGGTCTCGAAAACTTCTGGTACTCCTTCGATCATGGCATGGTGCACTATGTCACTCTAGATACTGAGACCGACCTTGGCCATGGACTTATTGCCCCTGATGAGCCCGGTGGTCCTGAAGCTGAGAACAGCGGTCCTTTCGCCGTCCGTGATGCTCAGCTGAACTGGCTTAAAAAGGACTTGGCTTCTGTTGACCGGAAGAAGACGCCCTGGATCGTGGTTGGTATGTTTTCTAAGCGCTTCTCTTATGACCTGCTCGTGATCTTTCCTCCTTTTGAGCTACTATGAATACTAACGATATTCCCATTCCAGCTGGTCACCGTCCCTGGTACGTCAGTGCCGCGAACCGGAGTAGCACTATCTGCGAAGAGTGCCGGGAGGTTTTCGAACCGCTCCTCCTCGATTACAATGTTGACCTGGTCCTCTCCGGTCACACCCATGTCTACGAGCGCAACGCGCCTATTGCAAACTTTAACGTCGACCCCAAGGAGCTCAACAACCCCAGCGCGCCATGGTATATCACCAACGGTGCTGCGGGTCATTACGATGGTCTCGACCCCTTGGTCCGTCCTCTTCAGAACTATGCCCGCTACGCAACGGATTCTATCTATGGCTGGAGTAGACTGACCTTCCACAACTGCTCGCACCTGACCCATGAGTTCGTGGCCAGTGCCAATGGTACTGTTTTGGACACGGCGACGCTTTTCAAGGATCGCAAGTGCTGAATAGGTATTTCGCGGACTTAAAGTTCCAATAGCTGCTGGTTGTTTTAGCTAGAGAAATGTTGGCGGCTACCTATGTAGTTACAAAGTTTGGTCTGGATTGGAGAAAATCGCCGTTCGTTACTTAAAAAATAACGCTAAATAGAACGTCAGAAGGTTCTCTTCAAAATTGGAATGAAACTGGGGGTCACATGATCCTCAGTTCCCAGCCACTATGCTCAGAATATCATAACTTGCGGCCATTTTTAGAAGCCCGTTTGCCGTCTACTACCTTATTATAGTATTTTGATACTTTATAAAGTATCAAAGGGCTTAATTTCAAGATAAAGGGCCAAAAAGAGAATTCATCTACTGGTTTCCCTTTGCCTCTTCATAGGCGGCACGGTTTCGTTCCACCATCGTTCCCCTTTCTTCCGCCGACTTCGGGTCAGCCTCTGGCTTTGTCGGTAGAATTCCAGCCGCGGGATGAAAGTGTCCTTCCTAGCTTGTCACCGTTATACCATTCACATCGCGAAAGTCTACTTTTTACACGAGCTCGACTAGTATGATATCTAGAAACGTATTGATCTGTTCCGGACTAAGTCCGCGGGCATTAAGGACTTCGTAGTTACCGGAGATAGTACGTAGGATACTATCCTTGCCGAGATAGTTAAATCCTCCGCCTATAGGATCACACTTCATATGTTTCACGAACTTAGGCACGACCTAGAAGTCATGATATTAGCTTCGTGCTTCGTGTGCCAAGATATCTGGCGTTACCGTGATAGGAGGTGGCTGAGGTGCAGGCTATACCTGTAGGTCTATCAGGTGTGCTTACTCTGCAACTCATGTTGGAATATGAGATCAAGTGCTTGGGTGATTGACAGACCAGAGTTAGATGAACGTCAAAACTATCAGCATGCCCTAGAGGACCCTTAGTAAGTGCCAAGAAGCGGGGCCGCCAAGTGGGGTCTGCGTCCAAGGCAACACCAGTCGCATGGTGATCGACAGGTTGAAGCAGTGACATTCACTCAAATTGCGCCAATGTCACCAAAAGAAAACATGACGAAGCAGAACCCGGACCATCTCCAAATCACCATCACGGACATCTTAACAATCATTTTCAGGGGCGGGGGCCGGGGGCCGGGAGCGGGGGCTGAGGGATCACCCATGAAATTAAATTAGACTGTAGAGCTAATGGGTGGCATCCAGAAAGAGCGCCCGGATTCTTCTGCTCAAGTTGTGAAACAGAGGGTTCTTCTTTGGGTTTAATGGGGATTGTGCACTCCTGAAGTGAGTCACGCCGGTAATGGCAAATATCGCGAGGCCGATTGAACGTCCACTCTAGTAAATATTCCCGGATCGAGTAGTGGGGGCGAAGATCGGTTGACTCTATATCCACGGAACTGATTTTGGCCCCCGGTCTAGCTAACATAAACTAGGACAGATGTTCACACAGCATTTATGCTTCGGTTTCAGCCCGCGATGTACTCTAGGTAACATGTCAGGAAGTGTATACACTAATGCTCTTCGGCTGACTTTCCTGGAATTAACCGAGCAGTACCAAGCGCAAGAAGACAAGTCAAAATTGGGGCAGGACGCATTGATTGTGTATGCAACCATTGCTAGAGGCCATAGGAAGAAGATGCAAGGATGATGAATTCATCTAGCTAGGCCGGGGTTATTTAACCCCTAAGGTCTGATCTATCAAAGAAACAAAGAAGGATCTAGACAAAGCATCTAGACAAACCTAGATGCGGCGGCATTGGTATCAGCCAATCAACCATTCAACCTTGTAAATGCTAGGTAAAATTTTACCAGCCCCAAAAGCTATTGGGACTTTCGCTTCGTTTCTTGAATGTGTCTTGGCATGAAATTAACTCCGGTAGCCCCAAAGCACTGACTACATTATACCTAATACCGGAGACTAAATCAAACAGAAAGCAGTCTGAAGTCCCAGCCAAGTGCAGCTTCTTGAGGGAAGACGCACCTCGCAGGAAACACCTAACTCTTGGTGTCGGCGGAAGAATGTTGAATATGTTCGATTTCTTTTGTTGGGTTGAATCTGGGAATCAATGTATTGGCCCTAGAAACTTCAAAAGCGACTCTACCTCTCTCTCCCCCTAGGACGAGCATGCATTCTGTCCTTCATCACATCTTTCACGAACAGAATTTGACCACCTGAACTTCATGCCATTTGTTCACCTTATCGCATGGGTCATTCCAGAACTTAATAATGTAGTTGGCGATTGCATTATGGGGCGAATCCCCCACACCCAAGTCTTTCTTGATCATCATAATATAGACCATGAGTTGCCAACAATAAGCTAGAAAATAATTCGTTATGTCTCTGTTCGAAGAGTGTAATGGATCATACGCCACTTTCAGTTTCCGTTTGACTGTATAATCTGCGCGCACCATGGCGTCCGAGACAAGTTCGATGGGGAGTCCTTTCTGATTGAGCACCCGCCGCACATATTTCACGTCAGAATTGTTGGGTAGATACAGCGGCGGGAGTTTACACTCCAAGGCGAGGAAGTCATTGCATGGTATGGTATTATAGACTTGATGTTCGTTGTCCCAACTTGTCAATTTTCCAGACCACTCTGGCTTAATGATGGTGCTTGCCTTTTGCTCCCAGCTTTTGAGACTCTTAGGGTTTGAACTCGTAAGTGCAAAATTGGCGATCCTCAATCCCGAAGAATCGACGGAAGTGAAATGTTTGGACCTCAGATGTGGCATGTCCCGTGCATGCTCGAAGGGTGCCTTGGTAAAAGGCAGTATCGCGGTAGTCCTTTCGGTCTGGGTCATCTGAGGTTATATCCCATATCTCCGGGGAGTGGTATATCACATTTAGACAAAGGTAGGTCCTGAGGGCAAAAAAGAAGAGGTTGTTCCATCCCATATCATCGCTCTGGTAGACTTAGTTTATTTTCCAATGAGTTTTGGAACGGTGGTCAAAACTCACTTCTCAATTACATTCCCCCGCCGAGTGCGGAATTTTTCATAGCCACTCTCGGATGAGCACACACACGGAGATTGGGTCCATCTTCACCGTAGATGAGCAACGTCTTCATGATTTCGCAGTTGAAGAAGCCGGACTTCTCCTGTGGGAAGAATTCATAGCAATTAGGCCACCCGAAGGGTTGGCAAAAAGCCGCGGCCGTCTTCTGGTAGGGTGGAAACGGAGGACAATGGCATGAATCTTCGTGGCTATTGTAACAAGATGTTTCATCGCAAGCTTTATCTTTGAAAGTTAGATCGTACCATCGGTGGACCGTGGGGGTGATCTTGTTTGCGAGGGCTTCATCGATTACGCCGTATCTTCCGGTGGGTCATAATGATCGGCGTACTTTTTGCGTTCTTTTACTGCGTGAGTCTCCAGAGTTCCCGCAAGCATCTTTACAAACTCGTTGAAGTCGTTGCTCTGGTTTTCGTTGTGCATGGGGAGCAAGTTCTTCAACCCGCAATTGCAGTAGTCAGGGGAAGTCCAGTGTAGGTTTGAGGTTAAAAGGTTCCACGGAAGGTCCGGGGTTTGGTTGGCCATGACGACTCTGCGTGATGTATACCAGAGACGTCCTCGAGGTTCATAGGCCAGAAGGTATAGATCTGATCAAACCAGAAGTAGCTGGGATGTAAGAAGTGAAGAAAGAGCACTGGAACAACAAAAGACTTTGCTCTCAAAATTGAGTGAACTTTTCGGAGAGGTGGATTGCACTAGCCTAGCCAAGAGACTGCCGATCCTCCGGCCCTTTGAATGTCCGCAATTTGGCCCGAAATCACCAACTCAGCCCCAGCTTAACTCTAGCTTAACCCAGCTTGGAAACCAATGCGTGTTCTCCTGCCTTAGAGAACGGTTTCATCTGGCTACTCAGGTGATTTGCTGTCAATTGTGCCAGTGTCATCTGCAGCCATAGCACACCTCTGAGATCTGCCAGTGGTCTCCAATAACCACCGTGAATTTTCCGCACACGTCGCTCACCGAGGGTACCACGTAACTCATGCATGGCAGGATGACCACGACCCTCTATAGGGTTAACCATCCGGTCAGCTCACACTGCCGGCAGCAATATGTCCGGCAGAAAAATAAGTTGGCCGGATGATTCAAAGGTGGGGGCGAGGGTAGCATCCAAAGGGGGCTGGTAGTATCAATCCCCTATATATAGGGAGGTCCGGTGCAAAGAATGGCCTAATAAACGCCAACTAGGTCACCGCACATAAGCATTTCTTCGCTGCTCAACCCCGAGACCAGTGTCGTTTGGTTACTGGTCTCAATCCTTTATAGATCTGCTTCGCACCCTTTTAGATATCTCATTTGTGCCAGATCGGCCTGCATGCTACGAACTGTATTCCTTATTCTCTGGCGAATCGCTCTTATGCAAGAAAACTCCGACTAGCTTCCTAAGTGGCTTAGGTTATGTTCGGAACGACTTATTAAGCGTATCCAGCTTAAATAGACTATATCCCTTGGCCCCCTATGCGGGAACTGCTCGCTATAACACTTTATAATTATCCATCTGAAAGTGAGTACATTCCTTTATACATGGTCTACTAGTTAATTGGCCGCGCGAAGCCACCGATTGTTGACTGCTAAACGGGAACTTTTCAACCCTGTCTTTAGACTTTTCCTAAACCCAATTTGGGTCCAAAGTCTAGACCCAAAACCCAACCCAACCTAATAAAACCTTGAAAACAGCTACAGTAGACTCGAGATATAAGAGATAGCGCGAGGAAGCAACCGAAAAGCTACTTCGAGTTCTGGGAAATACAGATACGCTATGTGTAACACTCATAGATGGTGTTCCTCGGCTACAGTATGGATCCTGTCAAATACTATATACAAAATGCGGATCTGTGTCATCTCAGGAGACAATCTGAACACCCTGCGGATTGTAGAAGATGTCCTTTGGATCTAAGTCTCGCTTGAGCTCTTCCAACCGTGGAAGGTTACTACGCCAGTACGCACGCTGGGCATCGGGCAGCTTAGGATCTGGGCATCCGAGATATGCGTGTCCCGCACTGTCTGGCACTGCCTGAGCCAGAACATTGTAGAGTCCATCGGCAAAATCATACGTAGTTTGCGAGATTGGACCAAGCGGGTTGGCTACGAAAATTTGGACCCAGAAAAGCACATCGCGGTGGCCATATGCTGTGGCATCTTCCGACACGGTGTTGATAGCTCCACCCTCCAAGCTAAGCGTGACGAACCAGGCTAAAGTGCCGGGGTTGGTCTTGTGGATGTAATCGAAGAGGCCGTCGATGGCTGAATCAGAAATCAGCGTGCTGGGGGTGAATCCGAGTGACTTGGCGTAAAACCAAGTCGGGGAGTTTCCGACCAGTCTCAGAATGGTATCTTCCAGTCCATGACCGATCATCCCCAGCCAATCCGTCAGAACTAGCACAGTACCGGGCTCGCTGGTGGGAAATTTATTCTCCAGGTCCAGCTCATCGTACTCCTTTTTCGAGCCGAAAAAGATCCCTTCGAGAATGATCTGGCCGTCGAAGATGACCATGTTGGAGTAAAACTTCCAGGAGAGGTTCTCCTGGGCTATAAATGCCTGCCAATCCTTGACGAGCTTCGCCTTCTCGGCAGGAGTTCCCAGATTGAACGGGAACGAATATTGTACGGCCAGGCCAGGTGCCTCCTCCGTGCGTACTTTGAACTCTGTGACGATCCCGAAGCTGGCAGCAGCACCTTTCACGGCAAAGAACACATCCTGGTTCTGAGTATCCGACGCTCGTACAACACTCGAGTTCGCCAAAACCACCTCGACTTCCTCAACATGGTCAAGCGCCAGACCCCACTGGCGCGCTGCCGGGCCCAATCCGCCCATCGTCAGGTGGCCACCTGTCCGGATGGTTGGGCAAATACCGTGTGCCATCGCTCTGTTGCCTGCATGGTAAAGCTCGGTGTCGAGGTTGCCTAGAGTTGTTCCGGGACCAAAGGTTGCGATGAAGGTGGACTTGTCCAGGGAGAATTGCGAGAAGTGCTTCATATCGATCACGATGGCACCGTTTTGTCCTCCAAGGCCTAGCAAAGTAGGAGTTAGTCAACTGGTTCCTCGAGCAGCTGAACTACCATCATCAGATGATTGTCATACCGTAGTTGCCAAAACTATGGCCTCCACTGCGAGCCTGCACCTTGTAGTCATAGTCAGAGGCACATTTGACTACAGCAGCGATTTCGTCAGTTGATTGAGGGTATGTGACTGCCGCCGGGGTGACCGGGATATTCAAGTTGTACAGCTCGACTGCGGTAGCCTGATAAAGAAGCGAATCTTGGAACGCGACATGAGCAGCAACGCCTCCGACGGCGGATACGAGACAGTCACGTCCAGCAGCAATGCTGGTGGTATTGCCCATAGTGAAAATACCGACTCAAGGATAATGCAACATGAGTATTACGAAAAAAGAGACGATCTTACGCGTAACTTGGCCTGAAAGCCCCTTTTCGTGTTTACTGTGTTCGGGCCGCTTACGGACACTTTGATAACGTAATCTACAAGCAAATAATGGAGATTGATAGGGATACAACGGTTTAAGTTAGGACATGCGATCGGGACAATAGGCCTGGGAATTGCTCTCATCTTGTCAATTGCTCAATGTCAATTTGTCTTGTCGGGCAATATACCTGCAAGGCGCAACAAGCGGAACTGGAACGCGTCGCACGACGCGTCCGTCGTAAGCCACTTGAATGATCCACACCCCAATTTAATTTCCCTAAGTATTAAGGCAGCTATTAGGGGTTTCGGTAATTCTGTTGGAGCCAAGAGCCGGAAACTAACGGCAAAGATAAACATCGCCAATCACCGCACACAAGTTAACCCCACGTCACTTAACTTTAAAAAAGGCTAGCTTTGTCACAGCGATCACTTCGGGATTTCTTCCTCACTTGGTTTAGGGCTAGTTAATGTGAGACAACATCTACTCCGTATGTAATTTTATATATCCAATAAGTGTTAGAGAATCGTTCAGAATACTATCACGGGCGATGACTCGTGATTGAATGATCGCGTAGTGCTGTTTCATCTTAAGAACCCCCTCCCACATTTCATCAGTTTAGAAGCAATCTCCGATATCTTGCTTAAATAGAGTGGGACAAGACAATGATCCTAGTATGCTATATGAGAAAGTCTTCTCTAGACGGCATATAAAGAAACCTCCATGCGCAGTTCAAAATGTCTCTTGCTATAATTCACTCTTTTTCAACTGCATCGAGTCATTACTTTTGAAGTCATTTTTGCATACATCGGCATTCTTTTACAGACATTAAGATCCTCATATTTACGGGGGACTGATAGTCGTCGTCATGAAGGGAATTTTTTATTTTTTTGTATTGGCTTGCGTCGCTTCTGCTTGCTCAACCTTTACGCACCCAGGGCTTCTTCACACCTCTGAAGATTTTGATCGCATCCGGGAGAAAGTTAACGAGGAGGCCGAGCCGTGGATGGAGGGTTGGAAAAAACTTGTCGCCAGTCCATATTCCGATCCTTCCTACAAACCAAACCCAGCGTCTATCATCTACCGAGGTTACGACGGCACCCACGCCGAGAACTATGCCCAGTTATACCAGGATGTTGCAGCAGCCTATGTGCTTGCCATTCGGTGGTCTGTGACGGAAAACAGTACCTACGCAGACGCTGCTGTCGGCATCCTTGATGCATGGTCCGCGAACCTTACTGAGATCAGTGGCACCGTGGATTTGTATCTTGCAGTCGGAATTTACGGCTATGAATTTTGTCAGGCTGCTGAAATCATGCGCACTTATACCGAATGGAAGAATTTCAACCGCTTCGCCAAAATGATGCTGCGCGTCTTTTACCCAGCAATTAATCAATGGTTTGTGGGCCATGAAAATTGGGGCTCCTGGGGTGGAGGTGTGTACCCTGGGTGGGATTTGTCCCAGATCGCTGCCGCAGTTTCGATTGGAGTTCTCACCGATAATCAAACAATATACCAACAAGGCGTGAACTGGTTTCTTAACGGAACTGGGAATGGACAGATAAACAATGCAGTTCCCTACACTTATTGGTATGACAATCAAGTCCTGGGTCAGCCAATGGAGACTGGTCGTGATCAAGGTCATACCATGCTGGATATTGCACTCTTCGCCGCGATAGGTCAAATGACCTACAACCAGGGGAATGATCTATTCGCTCACAATGATAGCATCATTTTGTCTGCGTATGTCTTCCGCTCTGGCTTTATTGCCAGTTGTGATCCACTCCTATGTTCCTCCGTGCTAATATATCCTTTTAGCGCCGAATACGAAGCCAGATACAATCTCGGCTATGATGTTCCCTACAAGGCATACGGCAACGCGTATTTAGGTTTACCAATCATCAGCAACTCCAGTCGCGGTAACATCCGTCCAACTTGGGAATTGCTTTACAATCACTATGGGGTCCTCAAAGGCCTGAACACAACATGGACGAAGAAGTATAGAGACATGGTCGTGGAGAATGGAGGAGGATCTGAAGGAGGCTCTGGGGACTACGGGTCCGATAGTGGTGGTTACGACCAGCTAGGATGGGGAACTCTGCTCTATACCCTCGAGGGATAAGGAGTCAAGACTAAAGCTAAAATGGCATAACCTGGTCTTCTGCGGCAATTGCTTGTGCTAATGTATGTAACATGTAGCTGGAGCTACGGTGCTAATAGCTATGTCGAGTTCTTTCTATCTCAACTATCTCGCTCTCTGGCTCTCTGACCTGAACTGGACAGCCAATCTGATGATTTTGAAAGCAAAATAGCATGGTCCATTTTGGTGCAATTAATTGCATCAATTTGACCCTTTTGAATGGACATAATGAGACCTCGCCAACTCCCACGGGAGTTAGAAACTTCTTGTCACGTCCCTTGCTCCCGCAGGTCCCGTGGGAGTCCCATGGGTATTGTGGGACACCCATACGGTCCCACGCTAGCATAGTTATGCTAAGCATATCCTATTTCAGCTACACAAAAATGCTGAGTGATCAGATATCTTACTTCTTTTTTCACAACTATATCAGTGTCTTCAACAGCAAACTTTTTTATTTGATGTGCTAAGAAATGGAATACGTAGATTAATAAATCATACATAAGAAGGTTATATGCTAATGAAATCTGGCTCGAATACAAAAATGTGGTTGCTTCCAGGCGAAAAGAAGACCGAAACTCGTTATCATGAAGGGGTGGCAGAGGAATGTACGTATTTACTCTAAGGATATATCATGCATTTGCTACACTTTATAATATAACGTTATGATCTGAGGGATCTAAGCGATTGAGTCATGGCTCCGCCAAGGCTCTAGAGGTGAAGCCACTGACCGCTAGGGTGAATGCACCATACAATAAACCCTTATCTTGTGCAATAAGATGCGATACATCGAATGCACCGACTTCAGCGAAATCGGAGCAATTGAGATGACAATTCAGGGGTTTCCTACTGCTGAGTTATGTTACCATTATAAACAGCCGTAGGGATACCTCATTTGAGGCTCAAACTTAAATCATCTCTTCTACTGCTATACATTACTTATGCCGTATTCTACGTGGTGAATTATAACAGACTCCTTATACTGGCAGCAATTTCTAATATCACTCATATTTCTTTTACGTCAGTGATTTTAACATAATTATGTGTCGCCGGCCTTCTTTTCTTTTCATTTTTCTTTGTATGCATTGTCCTACGTCCCTAGTAAATCGGGCCCTTATAAACATGTTCATCGAGCCTTTTAGCGTCAAGAATTGCCGCCATATATCTTATCTATGGAGGAAAGACGGCCTAGCGCTCTGCTAATTAAATATGCCTTTGGAATTAGGGTCTTTTCGCTTTTTTCAACGCTAGTGATCATTTATTTCAAATTCTAGAATTTCGCCTCTTGCGTGTTCCCGTCTCAACACTATTAGATAGGAACCGAAGTGTTATACTTCTCGTATACGCCCTCGTTATCTAGACCTCTGCAGTCAGGGTGATCTTCTGGTCACCTACAGTCAGCGTAGGGCCCCACCTTTTTCTCCTATGGTAAACAGAAACGCTCAGCTGCAGTCTGCCCTGATTGTAGATGCCCTCGTGGGATAGAGTTGGTCAGAGAGGGGCGTCAGTAGGGCTATTGAATTAATATGCGTGATTTATATAGTATATAGTATGGCCGAAGCTCTTCCACATTATTTCTTTTAGGAAGTCATTTGTTTTGTGAGTTCAGGAGCAAAACAAACACCGAGTTTACCTTCAACAATCCCTGCAAGGATAAAATAGCAGAGCAGAGCTCCGTAAAACATTCAAGGGAAAATTCACCTCCGGACAGTTAGACCACATTTAATCAATGATCCTTGCAACCCCGCACTCCCCGCGAGGCATCTCGAAACTCCGGTGGGGGCGACGGGAACAGTTGATGGTTTTCATCAACGACTGATGGAAAGACTCTGTTAAATTGCTCCATTGACATGACGGGAGAAATCTTCGTTACATCAGAGGCATGGGGTAGGGTCAGCTATTGCGTGTCAATTTGCGGGGAACGAAGGCCACGTGCATGAAGCTAATTAATAATTGTCCGATGAGGATTGGATATATATTTCATACCTTCTTAATCCGTTGAGATAGAAGTGCTTTTATTTAGACGCGCCTCCCTTTCATTGAATAATTATTCAGGGCATCAATTATGCTTTCGAAGAAAGATTTGGTCGTTGCTGGCTTGGCTTTGTTACAGGGAAGCCTCGCTTCTTTGCAAATTGTCCGTGTCTCCTTGATCAGTAAATATGATAGCCGAATATGTTTGGCTAATATTGTCAGGTCCCTGCTGCGACGTGGACAGCAGCTGGTACAAACCAACACGTCCAGGCTCATGGCGGAGGTATGTATGTAGATCGAAGTGTACCTTTGTCAGATATACCCCAGAGCTCACACATTTCCCTCGTAAGGAATAATCGAAGTCGACTCCGTCTACTACTGGATTGGCGAGAACAAGTTGAACGGAAGCGCCTTCCAATCCGTCAATTGTTATTCCAGCACCAACTTGGTGGAATGGGCCTTTGTTGGAGAACTGCTCTCCCGCGAAAGCAGCGGAGACCTCGGTCCAAATCGAATCGTGGAGCGTCCCAAGGTGATTTACAACGATGCAACATCCACGTATGTGATGTGGATGCACATTGACAGCAGCAACTACGGGGAAGCAAAGACTGGCGTTGCGGTATCTTCCAGTGTTTGCGGCAAGTATAACTACTTGTGAGTCTCACAGGATTTATCCCTTGTCCATTAACAATTCCTTAGACTGATTGGTTCCCTCTAGAGGTTCATTCCGGCCCTTAGGCTTCCAGTCGCGCGATATAGGTCTTTTCAAAGATGAAGATAGGTCTGCCTATCTTTTATCAGAGGATGTGAGTGTGTTGATTGGCACTCAGTGTCTTTTGTTGTATGTCGTACTGTACATACACAGTTCTAACAAATACCACCAGCGCCCAAACGGGTTGAGAATTGACCGATTGACTGATGACTACACCAACGTTACGTCCAACACATACCTCTGGCCCCAGCATATTGAAGCTCCAGCTATATACAAGAACGACGGCGTGTATTTCATGTTTGGATCCCAGTTGACAGGTCAGTGCTTGTTCTCTCCACTACGATTTGGTCTAACCAGACTCGATTACAGGATGGGGTATGTTTCTCGTCTCTCCAACAACCCATTGTGGATCCTGCCTAGGGCTAACCGGCCTCTGCAGCTACAAACGATAACAAGTACAGCACCGCTACGAATCTGAAAGGTCCTTGGAGTGCCTGGGCCGATTTTGCCCCTGCCGGCACGAACACCTTCAACTCCCAAACTACATTCATCCTGGGAGTAGGCAAGAATGTGATGTATGTCCCGTGGGGAAAATATCGAAGGAAAAACATTTGTACGGTTTGATTCTTTGGCTGATTTCATCAGGTACATGGGCGATCGATGGCTCTCCTCCAACCTCATGGCGTCAACTTATATCTGGCTTCCACTGACCTTGTCTGGAACGACCGCCACCCTCGTATGGCTCCTCTCTCGCACGCTCATTCTAACCCCCACTCCCCTCCTTCAAGTTCCTTGAGCCCGAACTACCTCTGTTCCTTGCTAAAAACAATCTTAACACCCATAGACCGAGGAAGAAAGTTGGATCCTCTCCGAACAGCAGCCCTGGACACCCTCCCATACAAAAACCATCCCAGAAGCAGAATCCCCCTCTAACACGTTATCCAAGGGAGCTGTGATCCTCTCCTGCAGTGGCTGTTCTGGCGGAAAATCGGTAGGATATCTCGGAGGCACCAGCAACGGAACCCTCCAGTTCAGCGGCATCTCCAGCAATGATACCACGAAAACTACAGTTCAGGTGAGGTACGAGAATGGGGATACAAAACAGCGGTACGCAACAGTGACGGTGAATGGGAAATCGTATGTTCTAGCATTTATCCCTTCGACGAATGGAAATACGCCTTTCTCGTCGACGCTGAATGTTGAGCTGCATGCGGGGGATTCGAATGCTATTACTATCCGCGGATATGGGGAGGGATGGGGTAAGTGATGCTGACCGTGTTTGGTGGTGAGATATAAATTGATTTGGAGCACGATAACTAATTGCGTTGTACTTTCAGGCCCGGACGTCGATTGCTTGGTGGTTCCAGAGCGGTAGTTATAATGAAGCATGCGCGTGGTTTCTCTGAAGGGTATTCACCATGTAACGCCGGACTAAGAATGATGAGTGGATAAATAGATGCCACTTGGGTATATTGTGCATCCACACATTGTCGAACAGGGCAATTCCATCATGCTTCCTGTACCCGCTCTCGTTTCTTCTTATTTGCTTATCCTTGTCAATGTGAGTGTATATACTCCATGAAATGCCCCCGGCATCACATTAAGTGATAAACGTGGTCGGAGGTCTTTTGTGGTAAAAGACCCTCCTAAGAGTATTATGAGCAGACTCGGCAAAAGGCCATTCGTGCAACATGTGCAATACTCTTTATAAACATTGTATATCGGTTTCACAACGACTGATTTCCAGGCTTGAAGGAGAATCCACACCAGCTGACTCTTCAGGGAAACGACTATCCTGAGGGAATATAATCGGAGCTTGCCAATACCGAAAGAGGTTGATAAAAAAGGAGCAGCCGGCGTGAATATAAGTGCCACTGCAAAGGCTGTAGCGGTAATTTTTACAATTACGTGCGCAATTTTGGAAAAATGGCCGCATGAGGACGAGGGAAGTACATACAAACGCAAGGTCGAGCTCCAGAAGGGTCCATAGAGCTTCTTTAGAGCCACTAGCTATATCATGAGTCAGCTTATCTCGTTAAATGGGGAAGCCCTGACCCACAAGTAGCGTTATTTTTTATATAATTTTTGAATGCCACTAACCGGAGAAGACTGAAGACACACACTCTAACATAAAGAGGTTAACAAAGCAGGAGAATGCTGTCCGGAATACTTACAATCCGCCAATAGAAAAGGCCACAGTGATCTGGACCTTCTGTCGGATGGGCAATCTCAATCGCCAGACAACAGCGACAGGAAGGAGAAGAAGGACGACATCTTGTATGAGGGAGAGTGCGCCAATTGACATAAAGAATGCTGTCTGTCCATTTATGCATGCCCCATGGGTACTAGTAGGCAGCCAGAAGTGTTGTGGAGGCCAGCATTGGAAGATGTTCACCAAAATTGCGGCTATACCCCAGGCAATGGTATAGATGAAGAGAGCTGTCGTAGTGATTTCCCATTTTCGTATAGAGGCGAGAAGGCTGCGAAGAAGAAGAGTCACTGATAATTTAATGAAAATCTGGGACAGCGCCCAAAAGGTTTGGGTGAGCCAGAATAGCTATCACTATTAGCATCTTCATTTGTGCTTGCATCGGGTGATCACATGGAGGTTATCTTACCATAATCACACGACCGTGGTATTTGAGTTGTAGACCCCAAATGTCATTTCCAATTCCACTGAATGCAGCTAAAGTCAACATCAGCTCTGCACATAACAATAGCTCATTGTACCCACCGAGTATAGTGCAAATAGTCACCCCGTAAGAGATGAACAAGCCTAGAGACATTAAAATATCTCCAGTGTCGAGGTTCCTTTTCAGGAGGAGTCGACTGTAGAGACGCAGAAGGAAGAAGACAGTTGCGACGACCGCACCAACAACGGGGACGACCGCTAGAACCATTCGCCAATAGGTTGTAGTCATCATAGACCATCGGCGCTGCTTGCTGGTATTCCCCTCAGCAATGTCTAGGTTTCAGATCATGGCGGTAAAATTGAATTTTCCGGCCATGGCAGTTCAACATACCTTCAGCTCATCCAAAAATAATCTGAACTTAAGAGGACTTCAATGGTTCTTGATAATGTGGTCACAATTTCCCTTCGATGCTTATTCCACTAGAAAATACGAGGCCGAAAATGATATGTATACATCCCCTATATATATCATCTTCAAGGTGAGTAGACCGGGGAAGAATACCTGCAACTCAAGTCGAATGTTACAAAGTAATGCATTTATCAAAGAATGGTGACATCATTTGCCACTGTTTTCCAATTTCAGTATGACGTGGAACGAACTCGCGGATATGCCCGCGACCCTCGCCATGGTCCATTCTGCTCTAGACCAAGGATCAGCAGGTGTATAGGCAAGTTGGATGACAAGCAGTAGGGGAAAATCATGAGCTCCAGTTCTTATACTGTTCGTGCGCTTTAATTAAAATATCTGCGGACTCGCAAGGAAAGTTGATGACTAGGTATTCGGAAGTGAACGGACATCAAGAGCGGCGAAAGCAGTGTGGTCCGACCAATCATGTTAATTGAACACCCTTCCTTAACAATGGCATCTGGTACACATACTCGTCTCCTGGATCTACGCTATAAATTATTCACAATTTGTATTTAGTTCAGCGCCTCATGTGATTAGTATTTAGGGTGTATAATTATACATGTTGGATATGAAAGGCAATGTCGGGCGACACTATACTATAAAGGTGCGTAATGCCACTTCACTTGCGATCAGATTGGATAACTTGGTGTCTCTCCTGCTGTAAACTGAATCTAAAAGCGTGAACCCCATCGCTAGACAAACCGGATGCCTGGCTAGATCTAACTCGCTTCGGTTCCCGTTATTCAAATTGTTCTAGCAGCTATCCCTGCTGTAACAGCGCAAGGCAGAGGCAACTCAAAATTGCCAGGGCGAGGTTATGCCATCATTGGTAACCCGGTTCAACGATGAGAGGCAGGATACCGTGTCAATCCCATTGCTAATACGCCTCTGAGTATCACACACATTAATGTAGGGGATGCTGTTTGCAGGATGACTTTTGGTGGCAGTTTTTAAATCAGGAAGCTAGAGCGGATGAATGTCAGTGCTGAATGTACGGAGCAGGTCATGATCATGCGAACACCGTATGAACCGCCACATACTACCGCCATAGTGTGCTTGACGCCTCATATGAGAGACAACGGAAACCTCGGGTCTTAGTGGGCAATGACAACGCGGTCAAACTCAAACTCATGATTAATTCCAGGAAGAAGTGGAACCTAACTGTGCTGAGTGCAGCAGAAATTGGCTGTTGATGTTGCGGAAGGAACGGTGCAGGGATACGACCTTATATTCATGGATACCTCGGGTTCGAAGCCACGCTCACCATTGTACGATTGAAAAGAACGGGATTGCCATGTACCTGCAACCATCATCACGTTCACTGGATGAGAAGTCCGCGCGACTAATCGGAGGCATTGGCGTCAGGAATGGTCTTATTCTTACGAAACTTATTTTATTCAAAGACATATTACGGCTCGTCCCTGGCGGAGACTCTAAGAAACTGAATTAGCCAGACCGTGTCAGTATGAGCTGACCTTTGTGTTTCGGTCTTTTTAAATTCAATGCCGCCGAAAGAAATAGTCAAAGGCAAATTTCTCCTTCTTCTTGTAGGATCGTCGGACATTCAGAGCAAGAGGACTAGAAGTCCAATTCTGTTTCATTTACGCAACCATTTTCGATGATAATAGTTAGCAATTGGGCTTTCATTTCTAAGATCACGTTAAGTTGCTCCTCGAGTGTAGTACTGTCCATTTCTTCCTTGCAGTTCTTCAAACGGTGTTGATATTGATATGCCGGTTGGTGTGAAACAAAAGACCAAAACGCTGCAAAACAAGATCCAGGTTCATGTGGTGTGACCCTTATTTTCAACGGATGGAACTCGGTGGCCATGCAAGAGACACATGACCGGGAGGCAGCCCTTTCTTGAATTAATGTACAAATGATAAAAATGAAACACTCCGAGGGGCTCACATACTCCCTTCGGATTTCGGGGTAAAAATGTAGATCTGACCTTTTTTTTTTTCTTTTGTTCCCTCTACATACCTTTTTGTTATGGTCTGTTCTCCAGGTTCAGGGGGAACATGGCGTATAAAAGCCACACCAAAAGCGTTGTGGCTTGTGGCAGTGTTGAGGTGAATCCCCGGGTGCAAAGTAGCCACCTATACCCTCATTCGTGGGCTTTCGCCACTTAGAACGGGAACTAATATCCGACAACGCTTGATCACCGGGTGAATACATATTTTCGTCTTCAAAATTAAAAGAAGCCGAATAATTGCTCTAAAATTTACGCCAGCTACGGGTTATGAAAGACTAGACCCCTCTCCAAATGTTAAGGCTCATTATCATTTGCCCACAAGGTGCTGCACCTTTCCTCCGGTGCATGAGCTACGAATGTTTGTCGTGCTATGCGAGACTAATAGAATGCCAATTCACCGTCTCCTTCCTTGATGACGTTTCCTATTCATCGGTCTTAGTTTACGATCCTGCTCGCCTCGGTACTTGCTATAGTCTTTCTTTTATGGCGATACAGCAAAGAACAGCAATAGTTTGCTAAAGCTAAGGATCGTTTCCCTACGTCACACTTTGTGATAACCGACTCGGACGGTCAAATGAGCCTAAGTGACAGATATGACAACACTCTCATTAGCACTAATCGCGGCCTTGGTATCTTTTTCGATAAGGCAGGAGAGACTATCCCGATGGTGTTCAGACAGTTCATCCTCAAGCTTACGTCCATCCCGGAGGTAACTGTATTTTTTCACTTGAGACCGCTTAAGATGCCTTCGGTGGCTCTGCAAAATCGGCATTCCGTTTCTCGTCTTGCCATTCCAAGCTAGTACCGAATTGTTGTCCGATACGGATATAACGACTTGATCATCACACCCAACCTAGCAGGCATCCACCTTGATCAGATTCGGAGATATCTGATGTCATAAGAGGAGCCACACCGAGAGCGCTGTTGCTCTTCGCCTTTGGAAGCCGTGACGGATGAGACTTCCGGCCGTCGCGTCTCAGAGGATCGCTTCCCTAACAGCCTCGGAACTGGGAGCTGCGGAAATGGGGGCAGAGGATTGAGTCAGTCACTGGCCAAGTTGGAGCTGGCCTACAGGCACGAAGTTCTATATATAATGGGTAAGGAGCAGATGAAAATCAAGGCCGGTGCTTCATATGTTAGGAAGATGTTGTTGCACATTTCCCTATCGATCAGGGATAACACACGGAAGAAAATGGCTAACCTTCGGGTGCCTACCGACAAAGAGATCGAGGTCCGATTATTGAAGCAGATATAATGTTGCAGTTCATGCTCCTTTACGACGGTGTCCACCATTCACGTAAGATATTTATCGCAAGATTTGCCACCTACATAGCTGTTAATATTACTGTGAGTGCCTCCCCAAATTACAGGAACCCGCAGTATATACACTGCCCATTAAAAGCTCTCAATGCTTAGCACACGGATGATTGATGGAAGTCTAATGCAAGACCATGACTTGAAGTACTGGTTTTTCAAAAATCTTTGCCTAAATGTTTTCGCGCTCCGGGGAGAGGCTGACGGAAATTAATATGTCTGGAAGCGAACTTCAGTAATCTTGTCCACCCTGCAAGAGGTCATGAGGTGCCATAACTTACGTCGAGATTGAATGGCTGGCTCTCGGAGTCTCATCGCACCCACCTGAACTTCACCTAGGGATTTTAGTGGATAAGTTATAGTTCATGTTCAGCTGATTGAATTCCCAGGGCATTCAAGCTCCTACATGTGCATTGGCAGGAATTACCAAGGCTTTCAATTTTCAATTGAAAGCACGATGGCCCTTAAGCTTGCTTTAAGATCCATCGATTCTGACTAGAGCTATCTGTATAGCGGCGTATGTATTGATAATTATCACAATGAAGGAAAGAAGCCAATCTCAGAAATAATAGAATATATACTAGCGGCTCGGACTACATGACGGTTGTCGTTTTCCATTTCATCACACGTTGATCTTCTGGCCACTTTCATCGCTATCGAGCTTCTGTCCCGCATCGTGCACAGAATTTGTCTCGTAAAGAACGGATTCCTCAAGATACTCAGGTTTAAGCTGGCCATGCTTATCGTAGCGATGGGGCTCTTTGATGGAGAGAGAAACGGCATTGAAGACGTTTGTAGACTTTTTGAATATGGCATCCATCTCCTCTAGAGACCGATAGCGCGTTTCGGGGAAAAACAAGTACACAAACGGGAAGATAAATGCATTTCTATCATTGTCAGCCAAGCCTCTAGACTAGTTGGTCTAATAAAGGGATTGGGGCCTTACATGACAGCGAAGATGATGTAGGTTTTGTACCCAATGCTATCGAATGCGACTGGGGTAATCATGACGACCATGAAATTAAAAATCCAGTTGGCACTAGTGATAAATAGTTAGAGGGTGCTATACGAGCTGTTTGCGAAGTAGTGACCGATCTACCTTGTAGCTAATGCATTGGTCGGTGCACGAATCCGCAGGGGTACAATCTCTGCTGGGTACAACCACGTCATTCCAAGCCAACCGATGGCGAAGAACGTGTTGAATACAAATAAGAACACAGCTTGGCCAATACCGGCTTGCTGGTCACCAAGCACAGTCAGGCGATAGTTGGTACCCGCAAGGACAGCCATAGAGAGTGACATGCCAGCGGCCTGTTTATATGTAAGTTAGTTAGCCAACATTATTCAGAATCGAGTTTTGAATTTCCGAATTACCCCAAAAAGCATGAGTGGACGACGTCCGACTTTTTCAATAATGAAAATAGGAATGAATGCAGCCATCAGATACTCTGTGCCGTTGCAAGCGGCTAACAACTTGGGAAGATTGCCTTCCCCGAGACCAATCTCCCTATACAGGGATGGCGCCTGTGGAAGCTGTGTTAGTGCGTGGCTGAAATTCCCGTAGTGCAAGGGAATACTTCACATAGTAAGTGATAAGGTTAATTCCAGATATTTGCTGGAACATTTGGTTGATATAGGCGAGAGCCACTCGATGAAATTCTCGATACTCGCTCATATCGAAAAGACTCCTATACGACCCCTTTGACATTTCCTTGACAGTTTCTTGGATGGCTAAAAGCTCATTCTTAATGTAAGGGTCATCGCGAGATTTTTCGTTAAGGCACTCTAGAATCTCTAAGGCATCGTCGTTCCGCCCTTGCATCACAAGCCATCGCGGGGACTCAGGCAGGTTAAGAATAGAAGTAAAAATCACGACGGCAAAAAGAATTTGGAAGGCAAGCGGGAACCGCCAGGCCACTTCGCTTTCCCCGATGAATGAGAATCCTGTTTTCTGGTCATCAGAAATCGCAATTTTTTACACGTGTGGGCCATGTTTGCCCTACCGTAGTTGATCCAATAACTAAGGGTGATGCCTGCGGTGATGAGCATTCCTTCGATCATAACCATCTTACCACGGTCGTGAGACTTTGCAGACTCTGACTGCCAAGTTGGCACGGTACTTGTATTCATCCCATTTCCCACCCCTGTTACAATGCGCCCAACAATGAAATGCGGCAGATGGAAAGCAGTGGCTTGCAGTAAGGCACCCGTGGCCATGATGACACAGCCACAGAAGATAGTCCTTCGTCGGCCTAGTGGATTTCCGATAAAGACCGTCAAAATGGCACCGAAAAAGCAGCCCAAATTATACGATGCAACCGCGATGCCTTGGTTCAAACTGCGCTGTGATCGGACGGCCGGGTCATTTTGGATGGCTGGATCCGCGGTATCGATATCGGTAAAGTACTTGGTGAAAGATGGAAGGTCTAGCAGTCCACCTGTCACACCTTGGTCGTATCCAAAAAGCCTTGCGATAGTCAGTCACACGTCAAATAGTATAACCACTGGAAGATAGCACTATCATACAAGAAGTCAAGACTCCCAAGGGAACTTATCGCCAAATTGAGGGCTCTACCCCTCCAACCAAAGAACTTCGGAATCCCAAACATGGTGTCCAGGTAGCGCAGATGGCGAAAGTCTGAAGGAGCATTGAGGACAGGGAAAGTACGGACATTGCAAGTAACGGATTATATAGCATCCACTCCCCAGATGCGTCCCCGGATCGACAAATGCGGTATTCCGAGAAAGGTACATTTCCATGGTGCATTGGCGAGGCCAAGATATGGGGAATAAAGCGTGCGTGCGCAGTAAGGATAGGGTGTGCCACTGATGTAGGATTTGGGGGCGGCTCCTCAGACACACTCTAACTGGTCAAAAGGCCAAGTTCTCACTTTCCGAAACAATTCGTGCGACTTTGGTGCCTACGTGCGAGACGCTTGGCAGGCAGACAAAACACCTCGGCGGTGGTATAGCATCTCTTGGCGGCGGCATGGCACATCTTGGCGGCTTACCCCGTGGGAATGTCCCAACATATGAGAGTACTGCATTGCATTCTACTCCGGATTTAGCCGGCTTCGGCTCCTACGGTAGAAGCTGGGAAATAGTTGATGAAAATGTGAGCAATACTGCGTGAAGTAACATATAAACTAAGTGGAAAGTAGCCGGCAGCCGATTCCAGTTTAACTTACCTACTGGTAAACAAAAGGGGTCGTTACAAACCCCTGAATCTACTTCCATAGTCCAGGTTGACATAATCACCGTTAAGAGGGTTCCTTCGCGTGGCTCTTGGGCCATTTGTGCCAAGAGCGCCACACAACCGCCGAGGGATGGAGCAAGCTAAGACGTCACACTGGAAGCAATACCTTGATGAACCTCCCGAAGGTGATATTATCCATGTCTATTGGCATTTGTAATTTCCTTTCTCCTACATTCCATCCCATGAAATGTATCATTGTTGGGGTACTTTTGATCTGACTGAATTTGCTCAATGAAATGGCATTATACGAGCGGCTGAGATATTGCCCTGGACAATCTCACTAGTCGCTGAGATCAACTAATACAGATGAATCGAACACTATAAAGGAATATTTAATTTACACTAATTGGAGGTATATTGTCCGTAGCTTAGTAGTAAGTTCCATGGGAATTTGAGTAACACTGGATCTATCCTACTAAATAAACATGTCCCGCCCTGGCAATGCGACAGCCGCAGATTAGAACGGCTTTTCTCGTTTCTTATTCTCTCTTATAAATCAATGAATTATTTATAGAAAGCCTTATGAGTTGTACAGCTTCATGATCAGTAACATGGATATCTCCGCAAGACAGGATGTGTTTGAATCTCAATTTAACCTCCGTTTTGAATCAGTTGACAGAAATCGCATCCGCCAGAACCCTTTCCCAATGGCTAAAAATCTCTCGAGATCAACGAAAAGCGTATTCCCAGCTCCGTCAAGGGATATATTGCCAATCATGATATAATAGGGCATAATATAGCTCCATTTTTGGTCCGAAGACTCGGTTACGTTGCTTGTCAGGTGTCTAAACAATTCATGGTTTTGCAAGCGGCTCTTTATCAAATATCATTTAGGTTCCAGTACGGTTTGATGAAGGCCATCAGCGCTCAGGTTAACTTCGACACATTACTACTCAGGGCTGATAATGTTCCATAGAGGGAGTGTGATAAGAATAATCCAAGGGTAATCTTATCACAGTGATAATTAGATCCCCTTCGAGAAAATTGGCTAATTATAGACTGTCAATGTATTTCGAAGGAACGCGGACTACAACGGCGCATGCTTTGGAAGTTCTGCACTAGCCATATTCTTCATTCGCCTAATGGCCGTGACCTACGGCATCCGTTAACAACCTAACGTGAATTCCAAATCAAACGGTCCCTCAACTCCAATACCCGGTAATGGACAACAAGTCGAAATCGAGCTAAATATTCTAGCCGATCAGGCTATGTAATACGTGCAAGGTTGTAGATATATGAGTATAATATATGATGAATAGAGTGCCTTCAGTCTTCTCCTTGATTCACATTATGACTTTCGCCTCCAAGTTATATACGGTCCTTTGTAATCACGCGGTTATCTTGATTTCTATTTCTCTGGCAGTCTACTCTGAATTGTAGACGAAATCTGACGCTATTCGATTTGACAGGAACCGTTCATGGTGAAACTATCTCTTGAAGAGGTGTATAGATAGCAGCGTTTGAATTGTTTACCTAATCTTTGGTCCCCATATTGCATCTACATTTCGTAATACATTTAGTTCGCTAATCCAGGATATGTCATTCTAACAAACAATTGGTCGTAACCGAGATCTCGTCACCTTTTCATTCGATCCAGGATGGCCTGTATATCTCCTCGCTTTACAGGCTTAATCAGGAATGTGTCGATACCAGACCCGAAAGCCTCTTTTTGGGCATTAGGACTATCAAGCCCAGTCAATGCGGCAATGATTGTATCTGGCAAGCCTTTTTGGGCAGCTTCAGGTAAGCCAGCCCGGTGTTCCTTCTCTAAGCGGCGCATCTGTCGGGAAGCCTCAAATCCATCCATGACGGGCATTGATATATCTGGCACTGTCAGTATTTTTGCGAGAATTTGAGTGGCAGAGTTAACTTCAGCATCTTAAGATAGAAGAATGTTACAATGAGAGGACATACCTAGGATGACAACTTGGTACTTGCCAGGGTCGGCTTTGTATATCTCCACCGCGTCTGCGCCATTTTTCGCAGTCACATAATTACGACCACACTTTTCCGTGTAGGCACATAGTAACTGCAGATTCAGATCATTGTCATCGACCAGTAAGACTGTCGATCCAGGACAATCTGCCTGGGTCTCTTGCTCCGCCTTTTCGGTGTGAGGCATCATATCGGTGACACTCTGGGGCTTTGCTTCTTGGAGTTGGGTATTTAGTGAAGACTGGACATCTTCACGATCTGGACTGGCCATTGTATCCGCTGTTGGTCGCTTGCTGATTTTCATTCGTTCTTTGGGCGGATCAACAGCCCCGAGGTCCATTGGCAGATGAGATGATTCCGGCATCTCTACCCAGTGAGTTGGCCCATCAGCACTGGGGCGACCAGCCTCATGATCCGTCTGCCTCTTAATACAGATGTTCAACGCGCGAGCCAGCTTCCGTGGTCCACATGGCTGGCTGATAAATTCGAAGAAGGCCGTTTGATCACGGTTCTGGGCTGCAACAAATAGTCGATGAGCTTCCTCGGGGGACTGGCAAATAACGACAACCGGTGAGCGACAACCATCCTTGTAAGCAAGCTGTGAGGCTAAGGCAAACAAGTTCCTCCCCTCGGTATCCTCGCTATCCAGTTCAGTCTGCACGGCCAAGTAAAAGTCGAACAGGAAATGCTCGCCTTTGATGGGCGACACGTTGGACACCTTCAAGCCAAACCAATCGCAACATAGTCGCTCCAACGACGAATAAAGGGCCGTATCTCGTTGGGAGTGGAGGGACGATCCAAACCCTAGGAGACCTATTGTCTTTTCCTGCGTATATCCCTGCAAGGAGCTAAACTTCGACTCTGATGATGAGGTGTCCGATGTACCAAGGGAACGGGTGAGTGGAGTTCGAATCGAGAGAGTTGTTCCAACTCCCTGAGTTGATTCAATCTCAATGGACCCACTAAGAAATCCGACGGCTTGTCGAACTATGCTCAGCCCCAAACCGCTTCCAGACGCAAGAGGATCTTCCTGTGTGAACGGGGTGAATATGTCATTTTGGAGATACTGCGCCCCGATACCTTTGCCAGTATCCTTGACAGTAAGGGTGACCTCAAATTCAGTATTTTCGTCTGCGGACCCGGATTCGTGTTGCACAGATTTCAATCCAAGGTAGATATACCCCGAGGATGTATATTTGAGGGCATTTCCAAAAACATTCATAAGGATACGACGCCAGGCTCCAGCGTGGGTGTAAAAGTCCCATTCGGTGTCTGGCTGAATATCGAATATGATCGTAACTTGACTGGCTCTAGGGCCGACTGTGTCCGATTTGTTCGTTGGGCCGGCCCATCGTGAGGAGTCCCCAGTCAAGGCTGGAGGAGGTGCCTGTGGGTGAGTGTAGAAACTATATCCCGCAAACACACAGTCTGCAACCTCCTCAAGCACTGAATCCAGTTCAACATGCGTATATGAAACATTTCGTCCACGGTCCTGGGTGGAACCGCCGCTCGTTTCCTTCGACCCTGCGGGCAATGCTTGGTGCTTCTTTCTCGACTTCCGCTTTGACCGCGGGACTTTCTTCTGGTATTTGTCGATGAAGGTGAGATCAAGAAGATTGTTGATGGTATCCAGAAGGGTCCGACCACATGATTCGATTGTGTGAACCATGCCATGTTGTAAAGCATTCATAGCTGTGTCACTAAGAATGTCCGCCGTTCCTAAAATTGCATGCAACGGATTTCGAAGTTCATGGGTGATGCTGCTGACAAGATTGGTTTTGGCCTTCTCGGCTATCTCGACATCCAGTCGTCGTATCTCGGCCATCATACTGTTCGTGAAGGCCGAGATGTACACGAGCTCATTTTCCGATGTGAAGATACGACCTGGATCGTTAGTCCAGACTAGTGTTCCGGCAAAGCATCTGCCTTTGTCGGAGTCCCAAATGGGAAGAAGAAGGATATGTCTGGCATTGGCAAATATTTTGATCAAATTGTCGGCATCTTGTTTGAAATGTGGCCTGCGTCGCTTCTTGCTTCTAGGGCGTCCCTGGTCACCTCGGGAGACGCCGGCGGGAAGATTGGACTCTGGCCCGGTGCTTCTTATGTCGCTGTCCTCTGAAACAGATCCATTGGCGTCATAAGTGAAAATCTTCCCACGGGGATATCGACGAATGAGGGAGGTAAAGAGGGGCTCTGGAACCACAATAGCTTGACCAGATCTCGGCCCATCATTGACGCTCGAGGTTCTGGAGCTTGAGAAGCCCAAACATTCAGAGACAAGTGGATTCTCTGATTCGGATTCTCTGTCAGAATCAGGCGTGTGACGTTTTGAAGAAGATGCTGAGTCGGTACTTTCGTCGCCGCTTGAAGTGAGGTCTTTCGAGGTTGGTCCCGAGACTTTGCGATGGGTTTGCTTGACTAGGCTTCCAAAACGCTCGCTGTTGGCATCAAGAAATATCACACCCTCAGCTCCAATCGATTCCCGAATCAAGTTAGCTGCTCGCGAGCACACCTGCTTGATGCCGGACGACAGGCTGTCATCCTGGAGGGTTTCTCCCGCAAGCACGCTTCGGACAGTATTGTCTTCGACTTCGACCTTGGATCTTGAATTGCGGTCTGACCGTGGTCCGTTGCTGTTTGGTTGAGAGTTGGTGTCATCTTTGGCTTTCCCTGCAGAGTCGCGGAAAGCAAAGTCTGTTTGATCTTTGTTCGTGGCACGTTCCTGGAGATGCTGTTGCTGGATATTCAACTGGCCTTCTACAGTCTCTCCTGACTGTTCCGAGGCAGCATACTGTGCGTTGGCTTCTCGCCATGAATCACGAAGAGTTGACCTGCCCTCCACAAAGCTGCCTAGGCCAACTATCATCCGTTCCGCCTGATAATTTTTGAGTGCAGAGTGTCCCACTGCCAAATGCTCCATGATTGTTCCAGCCATATCCTTCATAAACTGCAAATCATGTTGGTCGGGATTTGACGTCCTCGCTTCGGTGTCCATCACACTGTAAGCTCCAATTGTGTACCCTCGAGGGCTGATGATGGGAACTGCAGCATAAAACCTGACGTCGGAAAATGCGTTCAGTACTTTACGTCGGTCAAATCGGCTGTTCTTGCTCATATCCAAGACAACCAATGTGCGATCACCTACAACATCGGCATACTCTGTAGCTTGCTCGGACGGTAGACCCTCCACATAGTGGCAGAGTCCTTTCTCTTTGGGCATCACACAGCAACCCAGTCGAAGATTGTCACGCTGATCACGAACATGGCCGCCTACCAAACTCAATGACGGAGTGGCTTCTGCGACCACATGCTGGTGGGTCCGATCAAATAGTGAGATAAAAGCATGTCGAGCCCCCAAACGAATAGCGCCTAGCTGGGCAAACGAGTTCAGGGCTGTGTCACGGGAGGGCTGCGGTTTGAAGGTATTCCGGCTAACATTGTCGAAGGGGGCGTAATGCGACGCGAACTGTTCACGAGGAATATACCTGCCCCACCGAAGAATCAGCATCCATTATATGTACGTGGGGGTCAAACGAAGCCTTACTTGTAGAATTCTCGTTCTTGGGCCAGTCTGTAATACGACTGGGGAGCAGAGCCCCCAAGCTCAGTCATGATCAAAAGCAATGGTGAGGAAAGAACTTTGCAAACTCCAAACGAAGTTGAGTCCTCGGTAGAATCCGGTTTGCGGAAACTGTATAGACGTCACCCAATCAAACCGGCGTGTGTCAATTCAGGGCCGTCTGGGGCCATGACATCATCACGGGCCCACTTCAGGGAGTATACAGTAAGCACACTTGTATAAGTAGATGGCAGTACGTTTATAGGGAGGCTTTCGGGGTGATCATTTCTTTATTCACAGGGCCAATACCTACGATATGTTCAGCCAGAAATATAAATATGCCAACGTATCACATATATATGCCCTCACTGTGTTCACCTGAAACGAGTCTTTCTTTCATTAACTTATCATACACACTCAGTAATCATCAATAGAACCAACGGAATGTTTCAGAAGCAGGTCCATCCTGAAGGTATTCCGTTGGAATATTCTTTGCTTTAAGGTGAACCCCCTGCGCCCGGTCTCTCTTTTTGTTATCTGCTATCATCCAACCTCCGAGGCAGAGTGTTAGAACAATGCCAGCACCGCCGAATGACGCCGTAGTGATTAGGGCAGGTAGGTAAGTCGGTGCGTCCTGGTTGCGAAATATGTTTGAGCTGACAACTCCCATCAAGTTGGCCACAGGAACAGCGATGCTCGTCAAGACGACACGTCGACCTTCATTTGCGATATTGTTGTTGTACCAAGTGTCAAGCAGAACAGAAGGCGCAGAGGTTCCCCTAGAGAAGCGTTAGCTGGATGTTCCTCTGTCCAATTGAGCCGGACTGACCAAGTCATCAAGAATGAGGCGAAATATGCAACGCTTAGATCCCGCTGAACGTCGATGGTTGCGTAGATAATGAATCCAACAAACGTGAACAGGAATCCTAGTGCGATGAACGGAAATCTCCACCGGGTCCAATCGCTGCCAAAAGCCAGTATAAGCAACACTGCAGCACCGGAAATGTTAGGCGCTACAGTGTACAAGTTGGTTTTCACTGTGCTATATCCAAGACGCTTGATGATAACCGGAAGGAATAGCTGGACCGATTGCAGCGGAACACCTAGGCAAACTTGAATGGCTAGAATTGCCCAGCTAGTACCGTGTTTGAAAACGCGGAATGCATCACGGATGTCCAGCTTTTCGTTTACCACCGAAGAACTATCAATCTGCAGTCGAAGGTATGCTAGTTCCTTTTCTTCCGGGGTCAGGAACGCAGCCTCTGAAGCCGACCGAGGCAAGTACCACAGTGCAAAGAGTGCAAAGAGAACGGTTCCTCCTCCTTCGATCAGGAACAGATATCGCCAAGAGGCCAATGGACCCGATTTTATTTGGAAAACTCCGAAAGAGAGCAATCCAGAAAATGCTGAGGCAATCGTTTGTGCAGCATAAAAAATAGCTAGTCGGCGGGCTAACTCGCCTCGGCGGTAAAAGCTGTAACAGAGTTAAACCACAGCTCCAATATGACAACTGAGGGGAAGGGCAGGCATACGTCGTTTGGTAATAGATCACCAATGGAAAGAAGGCACTTTCTGCCATCCCCAGAAACCATCGAATGGCGAGAAGGCCACTGAAGTTGAAAACAGCGACTACCAGAATGGTACAGGTGCCAAAGGCAAGCATCATACAGGGTAGCACGATGTTAGGCCCATATTTCTTACCGAGAAGACCCAAGAATGGAGCAGTCAAAACATATGGCACGAAAAATATGCTCAGAATCAGATTGTACTGGGTTCCTTTCAATGAGAGTGTCTCTGTGGTTTTATTTTCCATCAATACCATAAGCCTCACCAGTCATCAGGAATTACACACCTTCAAGCCCAGCTGTCTTCGCGTTCCCTAGATTGGATTTGTCCAAGCTGTTGAACAGATACATAATTGCAAGGACAGGGAGGAGACGAAGATCGAACTTCCAGACTAACGCGCGCTCTGCCCTGGGATCGATATTGACACTTGCAATAGTTGGCGCCTCCTTTGAGATATCGGCAGTTGCAATAGTTGGCGCTTCCTTTGACGGCGAGAGACGCCCTGATTCAAGCTCTGCGTTCGACATGGTTACGAGTGCGGCCATAATCAGCTACCTCCCATACTCCTTCTAGCTGGATTCGACTTCTATATACATGCCCCGGATAATAGAACCGGAAAGATAACGCTAATAAAGTTTAAGCACGTGGCTGTCTTGGCTGATAAGCCTCCGCCAATTAGGTGTCTACAGCCCGATGTTCGGGGAAATTCAGTGGAGCGATACCGGCTAATCCCAACCCAATCCCACCCCCCTTATCTGACCAGAGGATCGGCAATCTGAGCGTTGGCCGATTGTATGAGTCTTTTTAGTGACACACAAATCATTTGCCCTACGATAGAAAAATAAACGCATTGCCCTAAGACAGCCTACACCCTCACCAGTAACATTCACAGGACACTCGTTAACTCTTGAGGCTCACTCTGAACCTAGCTTGAATGCTGAATTTTCCGGGCTAAACTCTCCCGGGTCGTATAGAGAGAGCATCGTCACAGGCTGACGTGCCAGTCTCGTCGACAAATACTAAGTGCACCATACTGTCCCGTCTTCCACTGTGCAAATCCCCCATTAGATACTTTGACCACTTCAGGCGAGATCGTTTTATCCACAGACTGAATAATTCTGATTTGGAACCCGTATCCTTTGGATATCGTCGGATCAATTCAAACGCAGCAAGAAGCCCCGCAATTTATTAACTGATCATTAGCCCGTTCATTCGGGACAATCCATTGTCTGAAATTCCTGGGCTGACTCACAAGACTAGGCAAGAGTTACTCCAGGGCTCTAATATCGTCTGTCAACACTATTTCCGTGTCATGCCTTGCCTTCCTCTCTCTACACATTTCAAACCTCATATTGCTAAAAAGATATATCACCCTCCTAGTTGAATGAATGCTGCACTACTATCTGCACCACTGGCTCTGGTTTGCTCTGTTCGTTGCGCCCAGTAGTAGACTGATTGCCTATACTCTATTTGCTTTTTTCTATTTAATGAAAGCAAACGGGTCCCCAAATGTATCGCAGATCTGTGTGTTCGGTATTTGAGGCCTCATTAATTGAATGATATACAGAGCAGAGCAATCTGCGGAGAACCATCCCATCTTTGGACAGCGACCAGGATCTTATCATGGTTTCTGTGCTTAATTTCCGCAAGTAATACGAAAACTGTGCTCTCCTTCGCGAAATTGTGAAATGAATAGTAGAGAGAGCTTGTATCAGACTACTCTGCATATAGGAGACAGATCACAAATTCGAACCCCGGGTCAGAAGATCAGATACGTTAAGGACATCTGTGGTCGCACTCCAGACTTCCATCTGCTAGATTGAACTTACAGCTGGGCTCGGTTGGAATTGTGATTTCATGCAATCCATTAGAATCCCGGGTCAATGGCCCACAAAGCACTTTAAGGTTTGAAGGAGGAAAGAGATAATAGGTGTCGGGTGTTGGTGATTCGATGTGAAATTAATTACTATCTTTTTAACTCTGTAGATTTGAAAAAAAAAAAAAAAAAAACCCGATAGCTCTCTGTGCAAGCCCAATCGCTTGGTCATGGGTACGGCGTTTCCTCGGCAAAATACGGACCCTGCGTAATTCCAGTCCCAGCCGCTGGGCCCCGGGGTTGCTCTCTCCCCAGGACTTCAGCAAGTTAGAATGAAAATGAGGTCTCACTTTCCCAAGCCTGCAATTGTGCAGACAATGATCCGCAGTGAAGATAATCACCGAGGTTTTGTCTCCATGACGAAACTTCTGAATTGATCATCGTGAGTTTTAAGGAAAGGATCGACATCCATATTCCCACATTCCCACTGCAAACACGACTCTTCTCATAACGACTCGGCATTTTGAGCCTTGCCGCAAGAAAGGGCAAGGGCAAGCGAAGAGGCAATCCAGAGTTCGCGCCCAGGCATTCAAATATCGACTGAAGCGCATTTCTTAAGGGGGTGACATGAGACTCCACCGAGTCCCCAATTTTGAGCACACCACATGTATGATATTTGAAATAACTTAACGTCACGACCGAGGACCCGAGGTTTCACGCCCAGGTGAACCTCAAAAGAAATGGGTCATCGTACTCGATGTTTGGCTCATGTTGGCTTGCAAGCGATCGTCAGTTCCAAAGTCAGAATCATGGGGTGCATGGACCCAGTTCCCCAACAATCCGGGGGACCGAGGCTGCTTTAGTAGGGCATAATGAGGGGTTTCATGTGGATTTTGGACGATCATCTGGGGAGGCGCAAATTTATATCATTGACCCCGCATACCCCCTGAGGGCCTTTGGGACTCTTGCATAGATAGTTCAGAGGTCCTTTTCCACATTCAACGTGTCGACTTGTTCTCAATTCCTTATTTTCTTGTCCTTTGTTTCTACAACCTCACTGCATCACCACAATGGCTGCCGACGGACCACGACCTGGGTTCCTTGGGAACATCAATCAGGAACAGGAGGCCAAGCTGCAGAAGCTCTGGGCAATTTTACTCAGGGCGGGCGAGCCGTCTATGGGCGAAGAAGCATCGAATGGCTGCGTCGAGGAACATACTAGCCCTGCCCAGCCCCAAAGACGCCAATCCCTCCTTGGCCGCACGCAAAGCAATGTTTCTGATAAGACTACCACAGCGCCTACTACACCTTACCAACAAAAGATCTTGAGATATCTTGGTGAGATCGGAGCAGGAGCGCCCGAGTGTAAAGCAATCCAGAAGGCGCTCTCCGAGATTACACCCACGGAGCTCCGTACAGGAGTGCTCGATACCCTTAAGCATGACCACCCGGATGCTATGCTCCTGCGATTCCTGCGGGCTCGAAAGTGGGATGTGCCAAAGGCATTTGCCATGATGATGGACGCCATTGTGTGGCGAGTAAAGGAAATGCATGTGGATGAGGATGTTATGGCCAAGGGAGAGCTCCATGCCCTCAAACAGACTCAAAATACATCGAGCACAAGTGAGCAGAAAGCTGGGAACGACTTCCTGTCTCAAATGCGCATGGGAAAGAGCTACGTGCATGGCGTCGACAAGGTCGGCCGGCCGATCGTCGTGGTGAGAGTTCGCCTGCACAAGCCAGGAGCCCAAACTGAAGAGTCATTGGAACGCTATATTGTGCATGTTATCGAGTCAGTGCGATTGACGTTGTCTCCCCCGGTCGAAACTGCTGTAAGTTTTTACTATACGATGATCTGGCGTACAGGGGCTATTCTGACGTTGCAGCAGGCTGTGTTATTCGACATGACCAACTTCGGATTATCGAACATGGTATGTGATGGGGATCTGAGGAAATAACCAGCCTTTGTTTTGAAGAGCTAACAAAGTTTCGCGGTAGGAATATCCACCTGTAAAATTCATTCTGAAGTGTTTTGAGGCGAACTACCCTGAATCCTTGGGCATCATGCTCATTCACAAAGCCCCATGGGTGTTCTCTGGTCAGTCTTATCTCTTTCATCTCAGGATAAGTCACTCACTAACTGGGTCCCTCAGGCATTTGGAAACTTATCCGAGGATGGATGGATCCTGAGATTGCCGCCAAAGTTCAATTTACAAATAGTGTCGCCGATCTCGAGAAATTCATCTCTCGTGATCAGATTGTGGAGGAGATGGGTGGCGACGAGAAGTGGTCATACGAATACGTCGAACCGGATGCCCACGAAAATGATCGGATGAACGATACTACTACCCGCGATGCTCTGAAAGCCGAGCGTGAAGCCATTGGTGAAGAATTCCTATCCGCGACCTCATCATGGATTGATGCATCCAAAACAAAGGACACTAGCAAGATCCAAGCCAGCGAAAGTGAGAGGGCTTATCTGGTGGAGAGACTGCGAGTCAACCACTGGAAGCTTGACCCATATGTTCGAGCTCGTCTTTGCCTGGACCGAATGAGGGTTATCCAGGAGGGTGGAAAGATTGATTTCTACCCGAAAGATGTTCCCGCCGAAACTCAGGTTGTTGAAACAACGAAGTTATCGGAAGTGGAACACTTGGAAAGGGTGAACCGGAACGCTGCGCAGACCACTGTCTCTTAAATGTTGATGAATCTCCAATATTATGTCGTCTACGGTTTAGATACTCAAATTGATCCTTATTCAATTTTTTTTTCTGCAGCCCGTTAGCAATTATTTCTCCTCCCAAGATCCTAAAAGACCAGTTTCCCGTTGTTTGGCTTCCGTGGCATGTATTACTTGTTCATAAGATTGAAATAATCACTCTTCCGCTCCCGCTTGGATCACTCACGAGTTTGAATCCATTTGGGGGTTTCTCAGTGGTTTTCTCTCTCTATTCAAAATCTCGTTCTAATATTATATTATTATATTACATGAAGCAAGATTTACGGAGTATTGAAACCGAAAATAAGTACGACTACAATTTTACCAGGTATATCTCAAGAAATACCAACTAACATCTCGTCCGTAAAGCTTTTCTATTCTCCCTTCTTGTTAATCACTCCTCCGATCATGCTAATTCGACCTTGCAGAGTCATCAGCTTAGTCTGCACTCAGCTTTGAACCCAGCCAGCCTAAATTCGAGTCATTGTGGAAATCATTGCTATTTATTTATGAGTAACCCTTCATATGTCGCAACAGACGTACTCACTATATCTAGCTTGTTTCAAATTGAGCTTCTCAATCCCAACGTTCTCCTTCTTGTCTTGGCTATCGGCCATGCTGCCCTTGCGTAGTGGAACTGATGACTCTATATCTTCTTTCCGAAAGTTCCGGCTACCCTGCTTCTCTTATTAATTCAGCATAGGAAAACACCAATAAAATGAACTTGGGCTCATTTTGATACCTTCGCTGTGTCCATTCTCCTTCGTAGCTTGTTCAACAATGTGAATGGGCTCATTATGAAAGATCTGAGAAGAAATGCACTAGAAGTGCGCTGAAGATATAAATGCGGATAGTTTTCGCGACTCCCAGAAGCAACAAGAGATAACAAGGTAAATTGTAACAATCTTGCGTTGAGCAGTTTTTGTCTGTATTTATAGCCATATAATATTGTTCCTAGCGTATTCTATTGTCTACTGATTCCATGTCACTCAAGCGTTCGGGACTCGGGGCTCGGACTACCAGCAGACAATATCTCGTTGCGTTTTACAAGCTACACATTTGACCCCATTAAAATATGGAGTACTGGTTAACTACTTTCGGTCACTGAAAAGTGTTATTCAAATAACCTGCCAGGAATGCATGTTGTCGTTCAGCGATCATTCAGAAAGTATGCACAGGTCAATTTTCCAGAGTTGAACTGTTTCTCTGCTTTAAAACTCTAGTTAGGCATCTAGCAGAAGCCTTATCCAATACACTGCCATGTATGGAACAAGCTAGTGTAGATCGCTCACTCCTTGTCAGTGACCAGCACGGGTGGCCCAAGCAAAGAACACTTCATCACGTTAGTAATCACACACGGGTGGAGCAGGTAAGCTCCGAGCTCCGAGCTCCCAGCTTCGAGCTCCGAACAACCGACACCTCTACTCCTGCTTATCATGACAGACCGAGAGGCATCTTCGCGCAATGGCAACCCCTCGGCGTAACGGTCAGCTATCATCGTGCGAACCGTGTCGCACATCAAAGCTGCGATGTGACCACACAAGTCCAGTCTGTGGACGTTGTTCGCGCCGTGGCCTTCACAACCGTTGTATTTACCATCCAGCACCGTTGACTAACCAAACCACCGCCATACACCCAAAGAAGAAGAAGAAGCGCTATGTTGCTCACGGAGCGGATACCTCGAATATATCAAGTTCACCAACGACTGAAAAAGATGGCTGGACTCAAAAAAAGTTCTCTGTCTCTGCTCCAGGGTTTCTAGGCCAAACTAGCTATTCTGATGTGTTCACAGACACCCGAAATGGCCTGCCTGCTGAAGATGTCTCGCTTGGAGGCCGTGATACTTTTCCCGTCGATACGAAACGAGTCAACCTCGGTGCTCAAGTATTGGCACTTCTAGAGAATCTTCCATTCTATAGAGATCTGGTCACTGCGCGATTTAAGATATGGAAGGGATGGACTATCGGCTGGCCAATTACGAATATGGTCTTTACTGTAGTCGAGGAAATGTGGAATGATCCGGACTATGACGGCATGGACCTCTGTCAACAAACTCTCATGATGTCTAAGAAACTCTTTGAAACTCACGCCCGGCCTTTGGAGGTACGGCCTTCTATGAGCTGGGAAGATTTCAAGTCCGCATCATTTGGCAGATGGGAAGTCATTGGCCTTCTGTTCATTTTGACAGGTATTACCACAGACTGGATCTCTCACGATGACCCCATATTTACACGCCAGGGTGCAATGGATGCGAAAAAGCTTGCTATTACAGCCACCGCAGTGGGTGACACATGCCTTCAGTTTTGCGATAGCAGTGGCATAATCAACGACATTGTAAGCTGGCTTCTGTTGCATCAGACTTCGCTCCTTACGATAGTCTATGGTGAAAGTGGTATGTAACCCCGATCCCTTTTGCGAGAAGAAAGCTTAACGGATTTGCAGACTTCCGACCATGGAGAAAGCTTGGAGAACTATCGACGACAGTATTCGCCCTAGGTCTTCATCAAGACTCGAGTGCAAATACTCCTTTTTTCCTTGCCGAGATGCGTAAAAGAACGATGGTCGCAGCCTATACAGTCGATAAGGTGCTTGCCACCTTCCTTGGTCGACCACCACTCATCAGTTGGCGCTATTGTGACATACAAATGCCTCTGGACTTGAGCGTTGAGGAAATATTCGCTGATCCGCCCTTTCGCGACGCTGCAATTAGAAAATTGGATAAACATACTGGATGGAATCAAGAAGCGAGTTTGATGAAAGGCGCTTGGCCTCGAGTCGCTTTTGTTACCAGTGTTCTTCGTGAAAAGGTCCTGGAGCTATCACTGAGCTGTCGCACAAGTGATTTGAGTCATCGAGTCGCGTATGAAGTCACTTTGTCAATAGCAGGACTTCGCTAACTTGAACAGAAATTTATCACACGAATCCCGTCAAGAACGCCAATTGTTGCCTGAATTCCTTCATTGGAACCCTGACAGCGACGGGTCCATTATATCTAGGGTAGAGGAGGATCTTCTTTTCGAGGTACATATGGAGTTTCTCTATAATGATTTCCTGCTGTATCGGACCCTAGCACAACGCACGGAAACTGAACCCGAGGCAATCATTGATATCTCGCGAGAGATACTCAGTGCGGTGATCCTGATGGTATCGAAAAAGATTCGCTCTGGATACTCCCTTAGCAGTCATATAGGAAATGTAGGAGTATACCTATCTGTCGCATGGCGAATGATACAATGGCTAACATTCCAGCTTGTATTCCTAGATGTGCTTGCCGGGTCTGCCTTCGGCTGGCGTTCTCTCTGTGGAGCTGCTACGTCAAACTCGATCCACGCCGCGGTCAACAGCGATTAATCTTCCCCGCTCGGAAGTTATCCAGAATCTTACTCTTTTTGCGTCATACTTGGACGCCATCATTGCGCCCCACGATGGGAACTATCGTGTCGCACAGCAGGGTCAGAGGGCAATCCGACATGTCTTGGACCAAGTACTTTCTGTGAACAGTGGCCCTTGTAGCATCTCAGCGGGCCCTGCATCAGGTCATAATCTAAGCGAGGACGACATTTTACCTCATGATATGAATAGCGACGACGACTTGTTTCTCGGTTGGTTTGACGGGAGTATGCCACAAATGTCTGAATCATGGCTAGCATGGGTGAACTTTACATGAAGATTGAAGTATAACCAATTATAGCATAATCAATTAATTCGATACGTTTTGGTTACTAGCACGGATATGAAGTACTCAACTCTATATTTGCCCCATGTAGCCCGTCACGTGCCGCCAAATGAGCTTTGGTCGTGACTTGTCTCCCGGGCTTGTTCGGATGTCATCCCGAACATTTCCTATGTTCCTCGTTCTACTTCCTGCATCGGACTTGATTGCCATCATGAACCGCCAGTCTTCCGAATCCCAAGACAGAGTGAAGCGCCGAAAAATTGCTGTCGCATGTGACGATTGCCGCGCCAGAAAAGTCCGTTGTGATGGTGTGCAACCGAGTATGTCACTGACGAGACCCGGAACGGGACCCGTACTGATTCGACCTAGTGTGTGGGCCATGCAGCAAAAGGACCGGACGCGGAGTTCATTGCGTTTATACAGGGGAATTGGAGAAGAAAAGAGCACGACAAACGCAAGTTTGAATACCTTCCCTATGTTTCACCGAATACAAGCTAATGCTGGGTACTTGTAGATACATCTCCAATCTGGAATCCCGGATTAAACAACTTGAAAGCCCCCAAGATTCCGAGAAGACCCAGGGATCAGGCCATACACCGGTTCGCCCATTAATGGACATTTATTATACAGCTAATTGACCTATATTAGTGCGTGAATACACCGACACCGACTTCTGGTATTGGACAGCCCAATACATCCCAGAGTTATGCACGAAACATTCCGAGTGAGCGTAACATATCTACTCTCATCGGTGATGGCGATGGCGTCAATGCGATGATGGGTGCTGTCGAGGAAGAGCGTGCTAGCCAGGGATTCTTCGGAAGCTCTAGCGCAGCAGGATTCATGCGTCAAATTAGGACCGCAGTCGACAAGAGGGTATTGTCTCCACACCTGGGGTCTTCGCTACCTCATACTGTTATTCCATCGAACATCATTCCGAAACGGTCCGAGCGACCACAGTCATCTGTGGCAAATTACGTGCTACCGCCGCGGAAAATGGCAGACAGCCTGATGCAGGTGTATTGGGATTATGTTTTCCCATTGTATCCGTTTCTGATCCCTGACGAGATGAAGGATGAGTATGAAAAGATCTGGAGTGGTGAGAGCCTGGAGTATGATGAAAGCATGCTGATGTGCACTCTTAATGTTATCTTTGCTCTGGCTAGTCAGCTGGCTGATTTCGTCCCACCGACAGAGCGAGAAACATCCGCAGATGTCTTCTTCTCCCGGGCGAAAGGTCTATTTCAGTTCAACTTATGGGACACTGGATCCATTGGTCTGATTCAATGCTTACTACTTATGGCTCAATATCTGCAAAGCACCGATTCTGCACATCAATGCTGGATTGTCACGGGGCTCGCAATTCGTAACGCGCAAAGCCTGGGACTTCATCTCCCTCAAACCATCAACCGCCTTCAAACCTTCCGAGAACGGCAATTGGCGCGCAAAATATGGCACGGGTGTATTTTGATGGATAGGTAGGTAACGCTTTACATCCGGCTGTCATGGAAGTCTTGTTCCTGACTGTGGCTTCCTGCAGAGTTATATCTATGACATTTGGCCGTCCTGCGATGATCTCAAAGACCTCCAGTGGTGCAGTTCCTCTCCCAGCCGCCGTGGATGAAGAATACATCCCCCCTGGATCAAATGTGGAAGTAGCCCAGCCATCGAACCTGCCTTCCATCATGGCATTCTTCGGCAAATCGTTGGAGCTTTACGAGATTATGAACGATGTTCTTCTCAGCCTTTACAAGCCCATGTCGGATGAAGGTTCAGATGATATTCATGATTTCTACTTTAATAACGTCGCCAGCGAAGGGGATAGGACAATATTCGAGCTTGACCGGTCTCTGGCGCGATGGGCGCGAAGCCTTCCTCCCCATTTGCGCGAAGGATCCTCATTAGCACCTGGAAACCCTATCTTCTGTCGCCAAAGCATTGTCTTACGCGCAAGGTCAGATAATAATTTCCATGATTTTCTCGGTATTTTGTGTTTACTAACTAATTATGGCAGGTTTTTACACGTACGGATGTTACTTTTTCGGCCAACCCTTTCCAAATATTGCGCTACCCGAGATTATTCATCAACAGATCCATTGATCTCGATGAATGACTCATTCCCCCATCGTGTTGCACTCCAATGCTCCATAATATGTGTCAAGGCTGCCCAGGAATCAATCGAGCTCATCTACAACAACGTTCCTGCGGATGGCACCGGGGGCCCGCTACCAGCCTGGTGGTACAATGTTCTCTGTTCGTATGGGTATTTTCTTATGTTTGCTCGTTTAATTCTGACTTGTATAGATGTTTATACATCTGCCACAGTCTTGATTGCCGGCCGATTATGCTCTGCGATCCTTGCTGAAGTAACAGAAGATTCTGTCACACGGTCCTGGAACTGTGCACTCGAAATCCTTCGCAAGTATGAGAGCTATAGCACGTCCGCACGACGTTGCGTGGCTGCCCTTGAAATTCTCTATGAACAAGTTGTATCTGAGGGATTGCAAAACCCCAGCCACACGCCTCGTCCAGATTTTTCGGTCACCTCGACGACTGCATTGAATGAGATGTCCTTTGGGGAAGGCATGAATGCGGCCTTCTTGGACAGTTTTGAACTTCCCGACTTCCAGGATATGTCTTGGTTAAATAGTGTCCCGAGTAATCTTTTCTAGTGTGACCTTTTTCCAATCCCAAGAACCATAAGGATACGCCCAAGTTGATCACATATCCTTTGGGGGTAGATAGGAATATGTACATTTTTTTTGGTCGTGCCGTGCCATGGTACTGATAGAACTAGAGATTGTGGAACGCGGTGACACTAGAACAGTGTAACGGGGCAGTTTCCTCTAGATCTTAATGCTTGTCCGCGCGAGTGGCGACAAATTGGACTGCAATAATTGGAAACAAGGCACATCCACCGATAATTGCAACCATCACACCCGAAGCTCCACCCAGTCCCAGCGTTGTAAACATATCCGGGAAATAAAAGGGTCCAAGCTGGTTAAAAATAGTTAATAACGTCCGTGAACAATCTTGATATTGGTAACATCTTACAAATCCATAGATTTGTCGGCACACATTGACAAAAACTCCAACCTGGCTCGCACGTTCCTTCTTGCTTTCGACGGCGAAGGTTGTGAGAATAGTGGTCTGCATCTGGTTACCAAAGCTCGCAATTGCGGCACCGATACAAGGAGTGACATTCCAAGCTGTCGCATGCTGTAATTGAAAGCCCCAGGTTAGCAGACCAGCGAATATCGTACCAAAAGCAATGTAAGAGAGCCAGAGGCGATCAGCCGGGCATGAGCTCCCTCTGCTCCTGCGAACACGGCCAAGGAACCAGTCACAAATTGGTCCACTAACTTGTTCACCTAGCACACAACCAATAATGATGGCAATGAATTGGAGCCCGATTTGTTGGGCGTCGAAGTGAAACTTTTCACCGAACGCGATAGGCATCTCGACAATCAAAGCAATGTTTGCGTAGCAGAAGGTAATTGCATGAGCACATGCGGCGATCGAGATGCGCGGGTATCGAGCAAGAGAAAACGGTTCGATAATGTCCTGGAGCTTTATAGAACGAGAGCTGATCTTTCTTGGAATCATCTTACTCCAAAAGCCAGTCGTTTTGAGCTCATTCTCTGGATTGTAAATTGTTTCATCGCCGAAAGCAAGGTAGAATAAAAACTGGCACAAGTTGATAATGGCAAAGATCCAAAATATCCACTGAACCCCGATATGTTTGATCACGAATCCCATGAAAAACGGACCCGCTGGTGTACCTATTGTTGTCATTAGAGTCCACCAGCCTAACTTCTTGCCTCGGTTCTCCGGTTCACAAAGCTCTGTTATGACACCACTCCCGTTTCCGATGGGAGGAGAGATCAGGAACGCTGTGATAACGCGAGTGGCCATCTGTGCACCATACGATGTGCATCGCGCGCCGCCAATATTGCAAACCATACTTCCAAAAGCTGAGAGCAGAGTCACTGGATATCGGCCGTAGACAGCGGTGATTGGGTTCCAGATCAAGGGCGATAGGCCGAGAAGCAGGATCTACATGATTGTATCTCCTTGGTAAGCGACCGCGCCACACTTAGGTGGGCCAGGATAACACATACCTGGAATGATGTCAGATAGCTGGCATCGGGGACAGTGACACCATACTTTTCCGCAAAAGTGTCATAGGCGGGTATGATCCCGGCGGCCATGAATGTTCCCATCATAGAATGAAAAGCCACCATTAGGATCTGTGCATTCTTCTTCGAATTGGACCAGTTGCGGGGGTTTTGAGGAGAGTCATTCTCCCAGATCCTTTCGTCTAGGGCCTGGTGATCTATGGAAGTTGATCCGACATTTTCCAAGTGAACGGGGTTTCTAGTTCCAGGGCTCTTCATATCGTAATTTGCCCCGGCGCTTTCGGAAGCAACGTAGTCTGCAACGTCTGCTGTCATTTTGGTGTAGAGGGCGCTCTGTCGCGGCCAAGGAGACCAACGATTGAATAACTAACAACCCCAGCGGGTGCACTTAATGGTTTGTTGTCGTCCTGATTGACAACTTTTCAAAGATGAAAAAGCGTTGTTAGCAAGGCAGGAGGGAAGGAAAGGTGTCCATCTTTAAGTCCAACTACACCTCTCTGATACCCCATGGGGAAGTTGGCCGGGTGTGGGAACTGAACAACGGACTGACGCCCGCACTTGTAAGCGTTTCACAAAAATGCTGCTGTTCATTGGCGCAGCTGCCGACAGGGACCACTTCATCTGTACTGACTCGACTCAATTCCGCGTTAATATTGCCGATGCAGAACAAAATCCCGAGGTAAGCACTTCGGACCTTGACCCGGAGGCTGTTCGGGATGAGGTCCGGAAACATCGCCAGATATCCGATATTCCCGTTCCCACGGGGATACTAAAGAAACGGTCATGTGGGAGAGGCTGGGACGTCATCTGGCAGTGAAACCCCTTTTAATGTACGTGTCGACGGAATAGCTCCATGGGATCTGCACTACTCGAGGACATTCGGAAAGTCTTTCGGAAGTTAGGTCGGCAGTTTGATCTAGTTATCCTGTAACTAACGTTAAGTTAATCACGAGATTTTGAGGCCTGGCAATCTAGGCCAGCAAGGTCACATGCCTTCTTCACCCCCTGGACTTGAGATACTATATAGATGGCATGGTTGTGATTACATGGACTAGCTAAGTTAATGTTAGTTAGCCAATTTAACGAAGTGTAATTACATAAGCTTGCTTGCCGAAGCTGCCAAGCCCCAGAGATCACAGACTGGCTTCTCTTCTTTCCCCGAGGTCTTTATGTTTGAGCTCCTGCGGGAGAATCCTCTCCGATCAGATTCTTAGTCTTTAACAGCTAAGGTCGGGCGAGCAACGTCCGAGAAATTTCTCCGTCAACCCCGCACCCAAGATTAGTAGAAGCTTTCTTCGCTTCCTCAGAATCGTGTTTTTGGATTCACCAGCTATTGGCGGATTTTGATGTCCGCGTGCACACGTTAAGATGGACTTGGCCTCAGGAAACCCGCTATTTCGGGCCATTGATACCCGGTATTGCTTGTTCCTTGCTTTATTATCTCGCCACTCACCATGTTGAATTTGCTGGTTTAAACGCCGCAATTCGTAGGTTCAATATGCGGACTTCGGTGGTGACCGTTCTCTCAGCGTGGGCTGCCACGGCCACAGCCCTACATGTTGCGGAAAATCAAACCTACATCACACTCGGCAATGATCGGCTCACAGCTGTTCTAAAGAAGAGTGTTGGTCAGATTGTCGATCTCTCTCTTGATGGCCAAGACTTGCTGGGTCCCCAGTCTGGTTCCACGGGAATAGGCCCTTATCTCGATTGTTACTGTATTCCTTCGGGCTTTTACACTGCTGGGGCCACGACCCCGAGCATGGAAGTAGTCCAGGGCATAGACTCAACGGGCACCAAGTACGGAGGGATGATTCTGACCGACACTTACACACCCACGGGCCAGCAATTTCAACAATATTGGTTCCTGCGTGACGGCGAAACTGGCCTGCATATGTTCAGTCGACTGACGTACAACAACAAAACTACGCCATTCCTACGCAATCTACAGGAGTTCCGAACCTTGTTCCGCCCCAATTCTGATCTCTGGACCCATCTTACATCCAGCGATGTCCAAACTGCACCTCTGCCAAGCAAAGACGCCATTGCAAAGCAAATTGTTGTTCAAGATGCGACATGGACATTCAATAACACACCGAGCGATCCCTACGTCACTCAATTTTCTGACTATTTTACCAAATACACATTCTCAAATCGTATGGCTGCTTCTTTCTGCTCACTCTTATCCTATATTAACCAAGTTCAATCATTAGAATGGAGGAACAACAGTGTTCATGGTCTCTATGCCGATGGAAGCACGTCAGACGGCGCAACCTATGGAGCCTGGCTAGTGATGAATACCAAAGTGAGTCCCGCCCCTCTCAACCCAAGTTTTGATACAAGTTTTCTGACAAATTTTTTCAGGATACCTACTACGGCGTATGTCATAACTCAGGCCGTGGAAAAGAGAGGCTAATTTGTCTTAGGGCCCACTTCACTCCGACCTAACAGTCGATGGGATAGTCTACAATTATATCGTGTCAAATCATCACGGCGAGGGCACGCCTAACATCACAGATGGATTTGATCGAACATTTGGTCCTCAGTTTTATCTGTTCAATGGTGGCCGGGGGTCAGCGACGCTTGAAGAGTTGCGATCGGAGGCAGAAAAACTGGCAAATCCTCACTGGAATGCTGCATTTTATGACTCCATTGCTAAGCATGTCATTGGGTACGCTCCTTCTAGCCAGCGAGGGAGTGTCAAAGGAACCGTCACGCTTCCTCAGGGCGCTGTTCGCCCGATCGCGATTCTCACGGTCGATGGACAATATTTCCAAGACAACAGCGTGGTCCCGAGCTCCTATCAATACTGGACAGATGTGAATCCGGATGGCACCTTCAGCATTGATCGCGTTAAGGAAGGGAAATATCGACTCACTGTCTACGCAGAGGGTATCTTCGGTGATTTCGTTCTGGACGGAATCACTGTACGTGCAAGCAAGCAGACGGAAGTGCACAAGAAATGGAAGCAGGAGTCGGCAGGGACAGAGATTTGGCGAATCGGTACTCCAGACAAGTCATCTGGAGAGTTCCGACGTGGCAATGCCAGAGATCCAACTCATCCCCTCCATCCACCGGAATATCTCATTTACTGGGGTTCTTATGACTGGCGTGCTGACTTCCCGAATGGTGTCAACTACACGATCGGCACTAGTGATCCAGCCACTGACTTGAGCACTGTCCACTGGTCAGTCTTCGGGCCGACGGCGAGTGACTCTCACGTTGAGTACGACACAACCAATGACTGGAATATTCATTTTGCACTCACCTCGAAGCAATTACGAAATGTGAAGACTGCAACATTGACGCTTCAACTAGCGGGTGCAAAGACTGCATCGGGTAACACCGATGTGTACAACCATGCTGAGCAATACAACAATCTATCGCTCGAAAGCTATATCAATGGCCAGTTAAACCCCCTCACATTCGTCATTGGGTTCAACCAATCAAGCAGCTGTATAGTGCGGTCTGCGGTGAGCTGCTATCAGGTTGGATCAAAAATGGAATTTCCTGCAGATTGGCTTCGGGTCGGAGACAATGTTCTGCGACTTCACCTGCCCTTTAACGCGACAGATACAGAGACTGCAATTCTTCCAGCCACTGTCTATGTGCAATACGATGCAATTCGGCTAGAGATAAAGTGATTGAGATCGGACATGGCTTATGCTAGCTTCTTAGACTAGCAGAAATTTGATTACTTTTCCAATTTTGTACGCCGCAAGCTACGATAGGTGATTTCTATTCCAGTGACAGTTTCCCAGTTCGGGGGAAACTTGCAATGTCCCAGGCCAGGTGGGATTCCGTTCTGCGGTCATCATGGGTCCCAAGGTCCGATAGCCCGCGACCCTGTCAAAAGCTCAGGTTCTCCATCTCCTTGGACTAGGAACACATCCTCATGTCTCACACCAAACTTGTCGACCAGATAGATACCTGGCTCGGAAGTGAAGGTCATGCCGGTTTTGAGCAGGCTGTCCAGGTTTCCTTGGTTCAGATAAGGGCTTTCATGGGCTGTACACATAGTTGGCTTAGCTTTGATACTCGAAAAGCAGCGACTATGTACTGACCTTTGATTCCGATTCCGTGTCCCACACGATGTGTGAAAGTTTCACCGTAGCCTGCATCAGTGATGACCTCACGAGCAGCGATATCCACACTCGATGCTGTCGAGTTTTCCCGCATCTGGTGAATAGATTGTGTCTGGGCTTCGAAGACAATATCCCAGACCTATAACGCGTCAATGAGAATAGGTTAGTTCGGGCCTAATGAACGTACTTTGAGCTTTTCTAACATCCGAGGCGACAACGTGTCTCCCCTTGATGGCTTTTCGAGAAATGGTGGGAAGAAGGTGCGGCAAATATCCGACGAGTATCCATATAAATGAGCCCTTTGACGTTGTCAGCTCTCCAGTGGGGATCGTGGGGCTGTTCAGGAAGTACAAACCCAACATCGATTAATACAAATGTCTCAGACTCTAGGACTTTGGATCCATTTGTTCCTCCATGGGGGTTCGAGGCATTCTCGTCTAGCGTTGGTCAGCATCAAGGTCTGAGGCAAACTTTGCTAGATGGATCAGACCAAAGAGCACAATATCGAAGAAGGGTTCCAACCCTGCAGCCCGCAAAGCATTATCAAGGGCGACGGCAATGTCAGTCTCGGTGAGACCAGGATAGAGGCCTTCGAGAAGGGTTAGCATTGGTTTGAAAGAGGGCGTTGCAGCCTGTTACATTTCCTAATCTGCCGCACCGCCTCCACGGTGCCTGTGTTGACTGCGCGGAGGATGTCGACTTCTTTGTCGCTCTTGATCTGTCTCACTTCCTCGACTTTACCTTTGAGGCCAACCACATCGAAGCCGACGGTAGCGAGCCCGCGTTGTATAAAGTCCCGCATCTCTTCGTCAACCATCAACCGTGGGTGTCGTTGAAGACCAGAGAACACGTTGGCTTGCTGAAGGGTTCTATACGGGTTCCAATGTTCTTCCCACGGAACTATTTGAATAGAATCTCTAAAAGGCATTCCAAGGAGGCGAGCTCGTTCTGCTTCAAATGATGGACAGAGGAAGGTGGTGTTGGCCTTGACGGTGCCTGTCTCATCCTCTTGGGGACGAACCACCATCAAAAATGGGCGTTCTTCGGGCTGTAGAGATATCAGTGCCTGCATTCCCGATAGATGCGGGGTGTGAATTACCTCCCAGACCTCCCATTCCGGCTGGCTCACGTTGCCATAGTATTTAAACGTATAGCCCGGTTCCACGACAAAAGCGTCGGCATCTTCGGCCACCAGAGCATTGGCCAGGCGGTCCCGACGCTCCTCGAAATCTGCGAGCGTGATAGGAGAAGCATTCATGAAAGGAAGACCTGTTCCAAGTAAGTTATCAATTGCGCATTGTTGAAGGTCGGGTGAAGTTGTTAGCGACCGTGGCATTTGATGACGTCCATAACAATAACCCGTCACCAATAAGCCCAGGGCGGCGACAACATAGACACTCGAAAATCCACGCTTTGGCTGCTGCCATGCTAGTTTAGACATGGTGATGGTGAAGAGGGAAATGATCCAATCCCATTCCTTAGACTTTTATCTTAGTCTTTATCTTCCGAGTTCGCCCCCTCTCTCGCGTGGGCCTTCCTTCACTCCCTCCTTGCCGCTCTTTAGCGTCAACTACATCGTTAGCTTCGGCGTTCAAACCCCGCACGCAGATTGGTGCGATTACACTGTGAAGGGATTGACACTGCACTATCTCCTATATAATGGCCGATCCCTTCCCGTTCCCTTGTTTTGACAGAAACGGGGGCAATACTACTCGAGCGAGCCTACGGAGACGTCAATCACCATGTCAGAGATGGAAGAGAAAAAAGGGTCCCAGGGCATTGTATCTGCCAATCCAGAAGCCCCTGATGTGGCCAACGGTGATCGGGGTTACTCCCGTGTTTCCATGGTGTTCATGGTGATTTTCAGTGGTTTGGCTATCGGTTCGGATGGCTTTAACGCCTCGATCATCGGCAACTTGGAATTGATCATGGGGGTCATATACCCAGAGTCCCTAACCACTGCAGTTGCCGCTCGATTGTCCAACGCGTTCATGGTTGGCATGATTATTGGTATGCTTTCGTTTGGATACATCTCGGATAAGTTAGGTCGGAAAACAGGCGCAGTCCTTACCACTGTCATTTTGGTCTTGGGAATTGCCCTCAGCGCAGGCGCCAGTGGTGTCAATGAGAATGGCATGTTTTGGATGCTGGTCATTGCCCGTGGGATTGCTGGGGTTGGTGCTGGAGGGTCAGTCATCAGTTCGGGATACTTAGAGATCTATACTTACGCGTTATAGGGAGTACCCTGTAGCTGGTGCTGGTGCAGCAGAGGCGACCGATGAAGCTCCTGGTATCCGGAAGCGAAGAGGTTTCATCTTTGCCATGATTGGTGACTTGTCCGCTTCTCTGGGGTTTGCGTTTGGTGCACTTGTCCCTTTGATTCTTTTGCTGTGTTTCCACCAACAGGTGCGACATTACGAGACGGTTTGGCGTATCTCTCTAGCCATGGGGGCCATTCCTCCACTGTCGATCTTTTGGTTTAGATATCGGATGGTCATGAGCTCGGCGTATCGAAAGAGCTCTATGAAGAAGCAGCGTATTCCGTACTGGTTGGTATTGAAGAAATACTGGCGATCCCTACTCGGAGTTTGCGGCTCATGGTTCATGTAAGTCCTCGAGGAGAATGATTTGGAGTTCTATCTAATTCCTTGTCAGATACAATTATATCTCATATCCCTTTGGTCTTTTCTCATCCACCATCGTCGGACGGGTTAATCCAACATCTTCATTAGCCCTCACCATGGCATGGGGAACAGTGATCAATTGCTTTTATATTCCAGGTGCATTTATTGGAGGTCTTTTGTCAGACAAAATTGGTCGCCGCCGCACCATGGCATTAGGTTTCGGACTCCAGGCCATCCTAGGATTTATCCTGGGGGGTGCTCTGGGTCCGATCCAAGCCAAGCTGCCGCTGTTCATTGTTCTTTATGGCATCTTTTTGACCCTCGGAGAGGTTGGTCCTGGTTCCACAATTGTTCTCACTGCAAGTGAAAGCTTTCCAACCGCAGTTCGCGGACATGGGGTGGGTCTTGCTGCCGCCTGGAGCAAGGCCGGTGCGGCAATTGGAACGCAAGTGTTCAAGCCAATCCTGGCTAGTTGGGGTGACGATACTACCCGTGGTACTCAAGCTGTATTTTTAATTGGCTCCGGCTTTGCGGTCCTTGGGGCGTGTTTGGCATGGTTCGTCCTGCAGGATAGCGATACCATTTTGGATCACGGTGATCAAGAATGGAAGGACTACTTGGTCGCTCACGGATATAATCATATTGAGTGGGGTGTTGAGGAGCAGCCGACAACTACAGACGCCAAGGTAGTGGAGTAGTCTAGTTGATAGCAACGCCGAAAGAATCATCATTATTCTCCACATTTCTAGAAGAGAGCAGGAAATCTAACAAAGCTTGATGGAGGGAAATGAGGGCAAGGACCTTCTATTAATAGTAGGAATAAATACAGTAGAGGAATTCCAAAGTCGGGCGACAAATGGAAGACAAACGAATGGCTCGATCCACCCTTGACCACAGTCTCACAAGATGGGTACTGGTCTAATGAGATCGCAAAACAAAGGCCCTTGCAAAGGCTTGTTAGTGTACATATCTGTACTCGTATCTGCGGTCAGCCCTTCCCGCAGAGACCACCAGAATTGACAAGGACGATGGCTCTTCTTGATATTTCCAAGACGGAAAAGGGCTCCGTTTGAACATGGAATTTACAGAATGCTGCCGAAGCTGACACAGGGGAGAGCAACGCCAACGAGGTTGTGGTTCTACTGCAGTTAGCATGTCTGTTCTTCGTCTCTACTGTAGGTAAGACTTACAGCCTCGGAGCTGGTGTCCTGGCAACAAGCAATGTTCTGCTGGCAGTTCTTCTTGAGGAAGTCGGTCAGACCGGCAGCACCAAGAACTATGTCCTCGTTAGCTTCAATCTCTAACTTGTCTTTCAATGTCACTTACCAGACACGGGGATATCAAGCTGAGTGCAGCCCTGGCCGATACCGAGGCCGTCGCTGCCAATGGCACCGAGAACGTTGGACAAGACTCCAATGTTGTTCTGGCTAACACCCTCGTTCTTGTTGATCTTGTTGCAGCAAGACATCTTGGCTTCGTTTCCACACTTGTTGACGGCATCCTTCACCTTGTTGTCAGAGACGTTGCTGTTGGCGGATGGCAGGGCCATGGCAGTGGCAGCGAGGAGAACAGTGGGGATGAAGAACTTCATTTTGAAAGGTTTGTTTGGTAACACGAAGAGCGATTGGAAATGAATGAAACGAGATGAGCTGAAAGACTTTGAAGTAGAAGAGTGAAGTGATGGTGGATGAAAGACAATTTGAGCCGGGAATCTCTGTCCTTTATAACTTTTCTGGTGGTCAGGTCTCGCTCTCGCTCTCTCCTATCTCTTGTTTTCGTCCCTGTACCGTCCTACCTCTGGGTCCTCCTGCGGAAATTCAAATAGACATCCCGGCTTCACTGCAATGCATGAGTGGATAACTCCAAGCGACACGGTCACTGGTGATCGTAGAGTATTGTTTCTTGGCAGGGGTCAAATGGCTGAAGCTGCATGAACGTAAAGGTTTCCCCTGCCGATCGACCGTCCCTGCTATGCATCGGCTGCATGTTCCCCAGATGCGAGAGAAAATGCAGGTTACACCGGTTAAAACTACTGCAGGTTGGGGCTTACTGATTTGGGTCTTCAACCGTTGATCCTGCACTAGTTGTTTTTTTTGCTTTTTATATGTGAGACGTCAAGCTTCCCCAAGTTGATCGACATTTATGACCGATCACAACGCTCATCAATTCTCCATTATCCGGGTTTGCCTTGCACTAGAACCGACTGCCTAATTTCTTGGCTTGTTATATTCTTTGAATAATGTTAATCTTCAATGACTGGATATGCTTTACTGCACGGAGCTAAGGCGCTTGCTGGTATTGTTGGGCTTGTCACATTATGATTTCAATAGTCACTCATATGTGGCGGTGGCTGCAAGCCCCTCCTGCGTCGTGCATAAGCACCCCTGTAAGCCACCAATATCCTCAGGCCTCAGCTGCATCATCAGGCTCTAATGAGAACGCATCTCCCGTGAAGATCGATCCTACAGACAAAAGTGTGATGGGAAACAAGTTTGGAATCGCTGAGGACAAAAGCGCCTGACAAATGTTCTATTCGGTATATGCTGGAGTTACAAAATAGATCGTGTTCTATGTATACAAGTCGTAAAAGTATGCGTGGTCGTTGAATACCCATCAGAAATCGCCCATGAGACCCCTTGCCTACCATGTAAATGACTCCTCCACAAATCTAATGGATTGATAGCCTCGTCGCATTGCGAGATATGTCGCAGCGCGTGCTTCATCCGCCATTCCTGGTGGGCCACATACGAGGATCGCGAGGCTGGACCCAGCTGAGCATGCATCAGCGGCCCGACTCATGACCAGAGATTGCAGGTGAGGTCGCCCTGGTTGAATCTCAATTCCAGGTTCGTTCATGCAAGCCGTAGAATCACGAGTCGTGTAGAACGAGGCACTAAAATCGTCTCGGTCAAAGGCAGATTTCAATTCTCGACGAGAAACATCTAGAATGAACGCCGTTTGTCTCGCGGTCCAAACAAGTTCAATGTCTCGAACTCGGGTTTTCTCGTTGTGGGAATCCCGTTCCCAGTCCTGAACCGAGCGGCGGAGATGATCCTGAATGTAAGGAACAGCCGAGGCAATGCCCGTTCCACCGACGATCATCAACACTGATTCATATCGCCAGACAGGGAATGTATCACCATAAGGTCCTTCAAGGAGAATACCGGCTTCTGTCGTCATAGACGGGGACCTTAGGCATTGCTGGCGCAAATTTCGAGTCCAGCCGTCGTAAGGACGAACCCAGAATATCAACTTGAGCATCTGCTGTTCCTTTTCCGCAGGAGATGCATCCCCCAGGATAGTAAGAGAATCTTGATCAGAGGATGAACCTGAAAGAAGTGGCAGATGCGATACATCGGGTGGTTTTCCTAGTTGATCCAATGATGTCGGTGCAAGCGAGGACTGGTCTCCTGTTTCATAAGACCATGCTCCAATAGTAAAAGGGTGGCTTTCCCAACCGGTGAGCCTGAACGGCTGGTACAAGAAGTAATACTGTCCTGGTGAAGGGTGTAGCGAAGACGTTCCAGGAATGACCTCCATACGCACCACATCAGCTCCTTCGTCGTATGTCATGCGTGTCGCAGTGGTCTTGACGAGACCTTTATGTGAAAGGCTCACATGTGTGTTACAGTAACACAACCGCACGATCCGCAACAAGCGATCAATCACCCAGATAACTACCGAAGGCCATAGGTATTTCCAGTACTCATTCCCTTCAAAGATCACCGTATGACTAACGGTTGTTAGGAGGGGACATTGCACATTGACAAATGAAGTGAGACACTTACTAAAAGCATCCCACGAGTGTAATTATCGAGAGCACGATATGAGCAATCAAAAATGATTCATACGTTGCGATACGGATCCGATCCAATGAGGTGATCAGCAGAATGATCATGACAATGGTGCCCTTATCTGACGTTAGCTCCCATGAACTGTGACTCAAAACAGGAGAATGTTCCCTACCAAAATACCCCACAACACGTAAGTCTTGGTAATTCCCCTCCAGGCTTTTCCCGCTGTCATTAGAAAGAATGGTAAGCATTATAGCACACAATTGCAGCACGTCTATCGTTTACTCACTTTGAAAGAACATGACTAAATAGAGAACAGAGTGCACTATTGCCTGCAAGGTAGCTACTCGAGCCACATGGCGATGAAAGATATTGAAGGATGCGAAGCTCCACCCAGTGGCCCATAAGAAGATGTTATTTCGACCAGCGAAGAGCCACAAAAGGGGAAAGTTTGCAAAAGACATTATTCCTGTACGGTCCGCAGAATACCGCAAAATCTGGCTTGGGATATCTGGATAACTTTTGGCCCGTCAGCGCTTTCACTTCTTGCATCGTGGACCTTGAAACTTACTAAATATTTCCAGCAAACGTGTGGTAACCCACTATGCTGAAAATAATACTGAGAAGCCAGAATCCCAATACTACAAGTGCTTCGGCTCTGGTCGAGAATGTGCAACCTAATAGGTGTCGACCACGCGTCGCTAGCGGCGCCGGAATCATGATATGAGTGTGGAGCCAATGAAGCACTGTTCCCAACAGTGGCGTATTTCCCAGTGTCCTCAGGAACGGGTATACATTGGCTTCGATCGCACGTTCTGTCTGACGTTGTCGCCGGTGAAATTTCCAATCACATAACCGAAATGCCATTCCGAAGGAGAGTATACCGCCCCAATACGCGTATCCGGCATAACTGACTGATCAGCGTCCACTTCATGTCTGTCATCTTGAGCAGACTCACCTAAAGGCATGATGTAACCAAGTCACAGATTCCCAGGAGCTCTAACAGGTGGTCAGCTCTAAAGCGCCAAGTATTGAAGGGTCTGTCTCACGATCGTGTTGAACATCAAGTCAAAGTAGGATTGAGAGATAACAACGGGCACGTCCATAGGCTGAGCTCTGGATAGCTCTTGGTAATCCACTTTCCTCATATTTCGAATGGCATCATCGGTCAAATTCTCGGCGACTGTATCTCTTGGCAGAAGATCCTGGTGGCCAAATTCCTGACACTCAACAGCCAGCAGAGCCAGGCCTGTCGCACGTTCTATTTCATCACAATAAATTTCCGTGGCGGCGTAAATGGATGTAACTTCAAGGGGATTTCGACATCGAGTATCCCACATGCCCTTTGTGGGAAATCCGGCAAAGCTGATGTAGTTATACGCTGAGAAGACTGCCGTCACACATCGCTCGTCGTGGTTAGCCCAGACAAACTGGGCGAGTGTAAGGACCAGCCATCCGAACAACATGGTGAATCCCCAGATCTCCGGTGAGAAAACGGTTGAGGAGAGAAGGCGGAGCACCGGCAGGGATCCGATAATCGCTACCGATCATGTGGGCCCATGTGGGCCAGCAAATTCTCTGGATGGGCCTTGTCGACAGATGGATATTGCCAATAACCGGGATCAGAAGCAGAAAACTAGAAAAGAAAATGAGATCTTCTATATATGTTTCCTGGAGGCCTGGTATTACTCAAAAAAGACGAAGAATGCAAGTGTTTCCATCTTATCAGATCGGATTGATTAGATAAGTCCACCTGATGGGCTAGCGTGGTCAAGTCACGGGAATGGGATATACTCCGTGCGTGTACATTACATGTACTTGGGACTGAAATAGAGATCAGCCGAATGTACGTTGGGTGACTATGATTCCTTCCAATTACTAGAGAGTTGAAAGAATTGGCAATTATTGTGGCGATTTAAAAGGGTTATAGGAGGATATCCTGCAGACATATATATCCATTGAGCTTAAGCAAGAATGTCACAATATCTATTATTTTTGTTATTAAAGAACCTAGCTCTAAGCAAGTCTAGTATACATACTATTAAACATGTTTCTAACTCCCTATCATGCAGAGATTGGCTTTGGGGACAAAAGTTCAACGAACGCCTGGTTGTCACGTGATAAGACTGACACCTGAGGCGTCAATTCGGTGTCAACTCCCGAATATTGTTTGGCCAATTGGAGATATAAATTGACTCTGTATTTCATTACCCCTATTTCTCGCTATTAGGGCAATTTCTAATTACATAAGGGGTCCTCGTATATAGTATATACCCGTAGTATTCGGATTATCTATAGACCGGGTTTCATGCAGTATTCGTAAGGTAATGCCGACATTCGGGCCCCTTGCTTCCAGCCGAGAAGTGCTACGGAACTACACAAGTCAAGCCGCGATGCCCTGCCCTCAGCTCTGCTGTATAATCCATTGACATATCTGCGATGGCGAGACTTGATGTCTTCCTTTCACAAAGACGGCTTTGACCTGATTGGCCTGTTTGCTCCTTGACCCCCTTTGCACATCAAGCGCATAGAACATCAGCCCACGATAGCTATGACGAAGAGCACTACAGGACAACCGTCAAAACCTCCGCATTCAATACCCGAGGTTGTTCAGCTTCCCCATCCTGAACTCCACTCCGCGGCGCAACCCGATACATGTACCAATTTACTCGGCTAAACAAGTGTGTTTGATGCTGATCGGCCTCTGCTCGGGTCATTCCCCTCCGATCCCTGCTGTCTGTGCAAGTTCACTCGTTATGAGAGCTTCATTGTCAACGCCAATTACCCGTCAGTATGGCAGCTGTATGTGTCGATCCCCCATGGAATGTGACGTGTTTTCGAGGTACAGCATGCACGTTCAGCCTAAATACCACATAAGTAATGGATGGATTAAAAAGCCCAGGGAAGTCATAATGCTGAATATTGGACTTGCACACCGATCACTACATTGATACTTTGTGGGTGAAAATGCGGCTATCTCTGATTGCACTCGGTGCCATGTGGGCTTCCAGCTCAGTGGCCTCTCCAGTGCAGTCATCCAACTACCATAAACCGACTTCCAAGGGATTTCGCATGCAACATGGCTTCGAGACCGTCCTGGTGCAGCCCTTTGGGTATGATGGGTTCCGAGTGCGGGCTTGGCCATTCCGGCAGCCAACGGGCCAAGAGGTCGGGTTTGTCTATGACCCTCCCCTCGAAGGACCAGAGGAGGGACAAGCACACGGAATGACCTTCGATACGGCATTCAACGGCAACCGATCGGAGGAGCTGCGCAATGGCAACATGGTTGTTCGTACCTCTGGGTGGGGTGGTAACCCGGGAGGCTACCGACTTGCCTTCTATCGAGTCGAGGCCGATGGCTCGGAAACTCTCCTTACCAACGAGTATGCGCCACTCAAATCACTCAATCCGCGGTACTATTCCTGGACCGGTCCAGGAAGTGAGTTTGCTGCCGAGTTCTCCTTCAGCACGACGCCGGAAGAGCAGATTTACGGCACAGGCACCCAGCAGGATCATCTTGTCAACAAGAAAGGGCTGACAATCGACCTGATCAATTACAATACCCACATCCCCACACCGGTGTTTATGAGCAATAAAGGATACGGATTCATTTGGAATATGGCCTCCACCGGTCGTATGGAATTCGGACCCTTGCGCAACAGATTTACTGCAGATGCCGCATCGGTTGTCGACTATGTGATTGTCGCATCTGATCCCAGTGACTACGACACACTCCAGCAACGTCTGTCTGCACTCACCGGCCGAGCACCCACTCCGCCCGACTGGTCGCTCGGTTATCTCCAATCCAAGCTTCGATATGAAAACCAAAGCGAAGTGGTCTTGCTAGCTCAGCAGTTTCACGACCACCAGATCCCGGTGTCTATGATTGTCATCGACTACCAGTCCTGGGCAAATCAAGGAGACTGGGGCCTTGACCCAAACCTCTGGCCCGATGTATCCGAGATGGCACGACAAGTAAAAGAGCTGACCAACGCCGAAATGATGGCCTCTCTTTGGCCCAGTGTGGCAGACGACAGCGTGAACTATCTAGAAATGATGGCGCAAGGATATTTGTCAGCGACTCGGTCCGGTCCTGGTACGACGGATTCCTGGAATGGGTCCTACATTCGCAACTATGACTCTACCAACCCTGGCGCACGCCGGTTCTTGTGGGACACCCTGAAGAAGAACTATTTTGACAAGGGTATCAAGAACTTTTGGATTGATCAGGCGGATGGTGGCTCGCTTGGTGAGGCATACGAAAACAACGGTCAAAGTGACTATATCCAGTCTCTTCCCTTCCCAATGCCGGATGTTTTGTATGCGGCCGGTACACAGAGTAGTGTGGGAAAGCTCTACCCGTGGGCCCACCAGCAGGCAATCGAGGAGGGTTTCCGTAACTCGACCAAGACGGATATCGGGACACCATGTGACTATCTGTCCTTGAGTCGATCTGGATACATTGGGTCTCAGCGATTCTGCAGTATGATTTGGTCTGGTGACACGACAGCCGTGTGGGAGACTCTGGGCGCACAGGTTGCCAGCGGATTGTCTGCTGCAGCGACCGGTTGGGGTTGGTGGACACTGGACGCAGGTGGTTTCCAGGAAGATCCGACAGTCCCGTGGTCCGCAAAGTATGTATTTCTTCTTTCTCGCCGTTGGCTGTTGCTGAGTTTTCTAGCATCGACACCCCAGAATATAGGGAGCTATACATCCGATGGCTGCAGTGGACTACCTTCCTACCTTTTATGAGAACGCACGGCTCACGACAATGCGAATTCCAGGACGCATACACCTGTGCAAACGAACCATGGTCATACGGTGCTGAGAACACTCATATTATTGTCTCATATATCCACCTCCGATACCAGCTGTCCGCCTACCTCCGCGCCATCTTTGCCCAACTCCACAAGACCGGTCGGATGATTATGCGCCCATTGTATATGGACTTTGAGAAATCAGATAACCATGTTGCTAGGTGGACACAGACAAACACCAATGTCACCACACAGCAGTACATGTTTGGCCCACGACTGCTGGTGAGTCCCATCACGACACCAAATGTGACAGAATGGTCGGTATACCTGCCACAAACGGCGGACAATGCGCCGAAACCATGGACTTATTGGTGGTCCAATGAAACCTATGCTGGTGGCCAGACAGTCACGGTCTCAGCACCTAAGGAGCATATCCCACTGTTCCATTTGGGTACTCGAGCAGATATTCTCGACGGGCGCGTCTTTGCGTAGAATTGAGATGATAGGCGGATAGCCCAAGTTTGAGATCACATCAATCAGACATCTCGTAACTAAATAGCAATCGCGTTGAAGATGAAGGTCAATATCAATCAATATTCTTCCAAGATCTCAACGATATCTACAAATGTCGCCAATGTACAGTTTTCGAAGATACCTTATCCTATCATCAAAACGGCCGAGTTCTGACCTTTTAAGACCGTTTTGTGGCTATTTTCGAACGGGGTTTGATTTTTTTAATGTTAGGGTAACCCTTACGCACGGTGTCTGACTACAAGCAGACTTCCTATGGTTAGCTAAGGGATCTGAGAAGTATAGAACTATAATTGAAGTAGATATGAATAGCGAACTATATAGCGTAAATTTCTCTAAGGGCCGAATTCGAAGAGGCGGTGGTGCGAAATATTATACTGTGAAGGCGGAACGAATTTATTAGGCAGAATGGAGGACGATCACCTATGATGTCAGGCATTTCTCGTTTGTAGCATCCTCCTCTTTTCAACATCATGGGAGGAGGTGAGCATATTCCAGCTATGACTGAGGTATCCGATCCTGGGCAGAATGTATATCGTCATGCCGTGGTCGATCTGGGCAGGTAGGCACTTGAGACCACTCCTTGCCCCTCCATTGACCACCCACTAACTCTGGCAGCAATGGTATCCGTTGCTCGATTTCAGACCTTTCACCTCCCAGTACCCGGATCATTCCTACTGTACACTTCCATCGAGTAAATATCTCCCTTTATGAAGCTCAAATCGACCCCGACTCAGGCTCCAGAATCCCCATCCCACAGCATGTCATCGACCGAATCGTCAGCGCTATAGTTCGCTTCCAGATTGTCTGTGTGGAACTCGGCGTTCCCGCTCAAAATATCCGAATCATTGCAACAGAAGCGACTCGCACCGCCATCAATGCCTCTGTGTTTATTGATGCGATCCGCCATAAGACTGGGATCTCGGTGGAAGCATTACGCAAGGAAGAGGAAGGAATCATTGGAGCTTGGGGAATCTCCAGTAGCTTTTCCGATGTGGAGGGCCTGGCGCTAGATTTAGGAGGTGGCAGCATGCAGATGACCTGGGTCGCTTCGCATGCAGGCAACGTCCAAATGAGCCCACAGGGATCGGTCAGCTTTCCATATGGAGCAGCCGCATTGACCCAGAAACTGGCCGATCTGAAACGGGGCAAAAGCAAAGGGGAGGCAGACAAGGCCCGGGAGCAGTTCCGCCGTGAAATGGCAGAGAACTTTCGCGCTGCCTTTGAGACCATTGACGTTCCCGAGCACCTCGTGAAAAAGGCACGCGAACAAGGGGGATTTCCCCTTTACCTTTCAGGTGGAGGGTTCCGGGGATGGGGCTATCTCCTGCTGTATCTGCACCAGACCAAGGGCCGAAGTTACCCGATTTCGATCATCAATGGGTATTCCGCGCCCAAGAAAGACTTCGAGGACACCGAAGCTCTCAAGGAAGTAGCTCGCACGGCACATGATATCTTCCGGGTTTCTGATCGGAGACGGAAACAAGTCCCGTCTGTTGCCTTTTTAGTGAAAACACTGGCCGAGTCCTTGCCGTATGGAATCAAAGAAGCTCATTTCTGCCAGGGTGGAGTGCGGGAAGGCGTGCTCTTCCGTGAGATGCTCCCAGTCGTGCGCCAACAGGATCCCCTGGAGGTTGCCACTGCGCGTTATGCCCCGTCTTCGGCTCAGGCTCTCGCGGCTTTGTTGTTGGCCGCCCTTCCTCGACCGTCCGGCACCCGATCGTTCCCTTCTTCCATCAGCCTCCATCTCATACAGGCCTTCGCCAATGCCCTCTACGTTCACGCCACCATGTCCAAAGAATTGTCTTCTAGTGCGGCGCTCTATAGCACTAGTACAGGGATCCTTGCTTCTACCCATGGCATTCCACATGCACACCGTGCCCTCTTGGCATTAATGCTCCAGGAGCGATATGGTGGAGAACTACCACCCCGAGACATTGATCTAAAGACTCATCTCCAGGGAATTTTGACCCCCGAAGAAGTCTGGTGGACCCGCTATCTCGGCAAACTTGGCCTCGTCTTGAGTCAGCTGTACCCAACCGGATCTATCGACACCTCCAAGCCGCGGATCGTCCCCTCGGCACAATGGGTCACCGGGTTAGGAAAGAAGGGGAAAAAGGATGGCCTAGACTTGACAATTTCAATTCAAAAAGTCGCGTACGATCCGACTCACCTCAAACAGGAGCTTGAGCATGACGTGCAGAGAATCGAAAAGGTTGGGAAGCGAAAGAACTGGATTGGTGGACGAGATGGCTGGGGCATTAAAGTCCGTGTCTCCGTGGTGGAAGAGGATCTATTGCTCTCCCGTTGAGTGGATATATGCCATGTACAGGCCCCGTGCATTTGACGTAGGATAAACATGTACGGACATGCACATTTTTATGATCAAGATCTCATTCTACAGCCATAATGGAGATTACATACAAGACTCTGAACTTGGATATGGACAAGGAAGACTTTGGACCTACTATCCGCGTCGGCCTGGTTAGCCAGTCCGCCCCTGGTACGCCAATTGTTTCTAAGCCTGGTTACTTTGCCGAGATACCCTGGAAAGCTTGGTTTCCAGACATTGTAGCACACCAGGGGAAACGAGACGGAAAATCCGAGAGACAAAGAGACAGGAAGACAGGAAGACAGAAAAACAGGAGAAAACGAAAACAGCAAAATGCTTATAGAAGTAAATCTTTACACCAACATATGCCACACCATATGCGTAAAAAGCATTCTAGGCAGACACGAAAAAATCCAAAGTGGAGGTTGAAGCTTAGCCCCCACTTAGCCTTGTAGGGCTGAGAGGTATGACCGAAGAGACATTACACGTCGAGCTGGCTTCTGAATTTTTCCGCGAGGATCTTATCTGATGAATATTTTATCTGATCCGTTCCCCTTTTCAAATATCCAATTCTCTAATCATGGATGTCGAGATTAAGGAGCCCAATGAGGCCAATGAGGCCAATGAGGCCAATGAGGCGAGTGAGGCCAATGAGTCTAAGGATTTTCAGAACGTTCGTGAAAAGGAGGTTCAGGATTCCACTGATTCCGGTAGGCACTCTTGTTACTTTTACTCCTTTCGCCGTCCTCACATCGTTGCAGATGTCGACTCCCAGATTGATATGTTGCGAGCTGCCGGTATAGGCATTGCTGAAGATGATCCAACTGAGCCTGTGCTTACCTTGCGTATGTGGGTGTTGGGAATTGCTTTTTGCATCGTGGTCAGCGGCCTGAACACGCTTTATACTCTTCGCACTCCTTCTTTGACGATCTCGGGCTCGGTTGTCCTATTGCTGGCCTACCCTCTTGGAAAGCTTTGGGAGAAAGTCATTCCTAATTGGACTGTTCCGCTGGGGGCATGGTCTTTCGGACTCAACCCGGGACTTTTCAACACAAAGGTAAGCCTGCTAAAACAGTCGTCATTGAGGTTGACCTAACCACCGGACCATAGGAGCACACCTTGATTTACATCATGTCCAACCTCAGTATCTACGTTCGTCTCGGTGCCGATGTCCTAACGGAGCAGCAAATGTTCTACGGCTATAAGGCAGGATGGGGATTCCAGATTCTGATTACCTTTGCCACATTCCTTGTCGGTTTCTGTCTTGCGGGGATATTCCGGGCAATTATCGTCGTGCCACAGGAGCTGATTTGGCCCGGAGTGCTAAGTGTTACTGCTTTGACCACGACCCTGCACCATGTCAAGCAAGATCAAGTACAATCACGGTATGTATTAAAAAGTACAATTCCTTTGCGATCGAACTGATGGTTCTAGCTACGACACATGGAAAATTTCTCGCTACGCATTCTTCACCTTGGCATGCTGCATCTCGTTCTGTTGGTATTGGTTCCCAGACTTCATCTTCCCGGCACTGAGCTACTTCAGCTTCCCATGCTGGATCAAACCAGAAAGCAAAGTTGTCAATCAGATTTTTGGAATGAGCTCCGGAATGGGCTTGCTACCTATTACGTTTGATTGTGAGTATCCTGGTTCTCCCGGTCGCCCCGAGGGCGCGCTAATCAAAGACCAGGGAGTCAAATATCCTATGTCGGCTCTCCATTGCTCATTCCTTCGTGGGCAATCCTCAACGTATTTGTTTCTCTGGTGTTTTGGATTTGGATTGTGGCCGTTGCTTGTTACTATACCAATGTCTGGAATACGGGATATCTCCCCTTCCAGAGTTCCAAAGGTACATATACCCATGCGACCCTGGTAGGCTGAGAGCTGACATGCGAATAGTGTTCGACAACACGGGTGGTGTTTACAAAGTCAAACAGATTGTCAATGCGGCATCAGACTATAAGCTCGATGTCAAGAAGTATCTTGCATACTCCCCGGTATCACGATTTCTGTTCTCATATTCCATCTCACACGCTGATACGAGGATCCATCTAGGTCTACATGCCCATCACTTACGCACTGAACATGTACGGGCTGTCCTTTGCGACCCTGAGTGCTCTACTTGTTTGGGTCATTCTTGAAAAACGTCACGTCATGGCTGATGCCGCCAGACGGGTTCCCCATCTGATTATTGAATCTCTGCCCGGCCGCTCCAGAGAGTACAGTGAAGATGAGAGGGGAGATCCCGATGTTCCTCTGTGGTGGTACCTGATTGGCTGCATTCTGGCCTTGTTCATGGCAATTTTCGCAGTGGAGTGGTGGGACGTTGAACTGAGGTGGTATGGTGTCTTACTAGCGTGTCTTGTTGCGCTGGTGTTCTATCCTCCGGTATGCTTGGAGATATTTCGTGCGCTTGCACTTTTCTAACCGATCTTAGTTGGCCCTGGTCTATGCCACTTCAAATTTGAAGATCAATATTGACATCTTCTGCCGCATTGTGGCCGGGTTCGTCTTCGAGGGCAAGGTTCTCGCCAACGTTTGGTTTTTTAATATTGGCTACATCACGACCATCAAGGGACTTTACTTTGCGCAAGACATGAAATTGGCCTACTATTGCCATGTAAGTATCCCTTTTGCTATACTTACTTTCACTATACTGATACCTTGAAGATCCCACAGCGCAAGCTGTTCTTGGTGCAATGTGCTGGCATGGTCGTGGGCACGCTCTCCTCTCTCGGTGTTTTGAACTGGGCACTGAACCACATTAAGGGTATTTGCACCAGTGCTGCCATCAACGGATTCAGCTGTCCATACTCCAGCACTCACTTCAATACTTCCTTGATCTGGGGTGCTGTCGGTCCTCGTCGTTATTTCTCGAACCAGATTGGCTACTCTGCTTTGCTATATTTCTTCATTATCGGTGCTATTCTGCCGGTTCCGGTTTATTATTTGAGTCGTCGTTATCCAAATTCGTTGTGGAAAAGGGTCCATGTCCCATTGTTCCTAGGTGGTTTGAACTACCTGCCACCTGCGACCGGAATGAACTACGGTAGTTGGGCCGTTGTCGGCCTCACATTTGGCTGGCTCATCCGCAGTAGACTGCATGGCTGGTGGAGCAAATACAACTTTGTACTGAGCTCTGCCATGGACTCGTCCGTGGGAATTGCTGGCGTGGTGATTTTCTTAACTATCTTCTTTACTGGCGCCAGTAAGAATTTCAACTGGTGGGGAACAGAGGTTTACAAGGTAGGTTGCCATTCCCACTTTATCAACAAAGCTAACTCGTATCAGAACACTTGCGATTGGAAAGACTGTGCTCATCTGGACATTCCAAAAAGCGGGAAATTCACACAGTAAGGTGGATTTTGACGCTTTGCTGCTCTCCAACCAAAGGGCACGTTCATGCCTTCAGAAGTGAGTACTCAGGGTTTGACGATGTACAGAACGGAGCGATCTTTTAAATCTAGATTTCAATTTAATCGCATGGGAGAGCATTATTGTTTGATCGACAAACAATGATGGATCCGTCCGCTTCTAACGATTGCATGAAGAGCCCAACGATTTCCAGAATCCAGTGAATCTATGAGTTTGGATTGATCAATACACAGTTCTCATCTTCCGTCAGAGTTCGTAGATCACTAGGAGGAAACATAACATGCAGCAGCGGCATCAACGCCCTCAACGGTCGCAACGCAGCCGGGAGCCTAAATAGCAGGGATTTCATTGACTGTTTGGATGATAGTAGTTGGTCATGGAAGCCTTATACGAAATTTACCCGAGAGAGTTCAACTTAATCAATGTAATAGAAAGAAAAGACTCAGCTCTGGGCACGATGCTGGCCTTGCGGTCCCAAAGCTATGATATGGGCCAATGCAGTCTAAAATAGCGATGCAGGGACAAGCCAGGGTTCAGTATCTGTGTCATTGTAGGCTAGTAACTTAGTTGGCAACCGATTTAATCGCTTAGGCCCGTTGAAACCAATAATCAAGCGGGCCTATAGTTATAGGCATCACATCAGCAAGCCGTCATAGCCTGTAATCAGTAGGTCGATGTACTGTGTAGAATAAATACCATCGTTTTGATACACAATACCATTATAATGGAGACCGACGCCAAATCTTTCAAGTGGTAATTTTGGGTGGGGCAATACGAAGACGCCGATGTCGGGTGTGATTGATTAGATCAGCCCGATTGATTAGATCTGTTGCAGCTGTTGTCACTGCAAGGGCTACAGTAGCACATCCCGGTTCTTTTTTCTCGCCTTGGCAAACCCCAGTGTATGTAATCTTTGATAGAGACGATCCTGTCGAGATGATCCGGGACACAAGCCGCGGCCCACTGTCTCTCCCTTGTCCCTCTCACATCCACTAGCGAGAAGGAAGAATCAGCTCGGAATGTCGGGATCTGCCAAGACCCAGTGGCTCCAATTGTTCCGGCCAACTCCCAACTCGGAAAAGTGAGCCGATACCAGAACGCGACATCCATGTCTCACCTTGCATACTGATTGATAACGCACAGCATTAAAACTCTGCAGATGTTATCTGATCCTGAGTGGAGTCTGATGCCACGAGGTCACATTCTTCAACGTGTTTTGGTGGATCAAGAAGATGGTGAGATGCAGCGTGACATCTCCTACGGGCTATACTACCGTGACCGGAAAATATACTATACGATCTCAGGAAAGGGCCGAGGTTGCTGGACGGTCTGAATGCTACTCTTGTTCCTTTCTAACAGAATGAATGATCGGACGAAGCAACTTCCGTTGTCAGCCCACCCTGGAGCCGAGCTTGGCGCGAAAGAATCAAATCCTCCACAGAAACTTCCCCGTGAGAATAATATCTCGGACCTGGCGGCTTTTTGGGGTGATCGGCATTGTCATATATAGATACCCGAAAGCTAACAGGGCTATTCAACGGGATCCAACCCTAACACCATGCTCCAACATGAACGCAGAACACCCATATATACGAGGTCAGAACAGAATAGGAAAATAGGTATATAAATGAAATATAGAAGAAACATCGTACATGTAGATACTGAAGATAGAAATGAAAAATACAGCCAAGGTTCGCTTGCTCGGGTGGACCCGCAAGGTTACGTAGCAACCAAGCATGAAAGCCAGCGAAATTACATCCGAGGTGGAGTCGCTTCATATCTGATTGAAGATTGTGCGAAATTAGTCGGGTACATCTATAAGCCCTCTCTCCGGGCTCCATTCTTCTTCAACTTTCTCAATCATGGCTGCTCCAAGAAGTGTTCAGCGCTTGCAGCAGACGCTGTCGCATGTACAGCCTCCAAACACTCAATTGTCTCTTGTCGCTGGCCCGACGGAGCCAGCCTTACTGGATATCACCTTAGGTGAGCTGCTGACGCTTCAAGCGCTGCAGTATGGAGGCATTGAGTGCCTGGTGTTCCCCTGGACCAATGCGCGCTGGACATACGGCGAATTGAAAGATGAGACCGAACGTCTGGCGCAAGGCATGCTAGCCTCGGGTATCCAAAAAGGTGATCGGGTGGGCATCATGGCAG